ACTAAAAAGCACCAGTCTGGTTGGTCAAAACTAGAATAGTCATATCATGACTGGAACAGTCAGGAATATTATTCTTATTGCCATCCCAAGTCACAATATGGCTTCTACCTGGCAACTGGCAGAATAAATAACATCATTTATCGTGGCAACGCTGTTGGTCCGGATTTATCCGCTTCCTTAAACACTTCTTACGGAATAGTTCACCAATGTTTGATCAGGAATCCAATTTCAGTTTACAAACAATGACAAAACTTTGTTCTCGTTGCACCACTGGAAGTGTCCATACTTGACACACCTAGCACCACTAATGGCTATTGAAATCGTGCTTTCCGTTACCGGCTCGAGTCAATAGACTGGGCGGAATTCGAATGGTACAGATATTTCCTAGTTTGTTTAATCAATAATAACTAACAATGACTATAACAACATGTAACATTGAATACCAAAATCCGCTGATTTATCATCAGCTTCTAAAGCAAAATCAACACCGACTTGTTCCTGGACAATAAGTGGGGTTCGTCGTCAGTATCAGGTGATGGGTACATATCCTAAAATAACACCATATCACGTGAGAACGAGAGAGCAAAGTCCAAGGTCATGGAGTGCAATAGATGTAAATACGTCTTTTTGATATAAATAACAGTCATGTTTGTGAGACATAGGACGAAGTTCAGTAATATTGATCCGTTAGGTAGTTAAGAATGCGATATTTAAGCATTATTCGAACTTAGGGTCATTGACACATCACTACAAGGTACACGCACCAGGTACATGTTACCGATATTTACCATCAAAGTTTGACGTTATCCTTACATAACAAGGGTGTTTGGTACCTTTAAAGTTTGAACAGAAGCCACGTGAATCATATAACGTAGCTTATTTACTTTTTCAGTTATATCCTTACATCAAAAAGGTAACAAAACAAACAAACAAAAACAAACAAAAAGTAACCACTTCTTACGATGAGATTCGCGTTTTATCACAACTCTATGAATGCAGTTACTGTTATACTGTTCCTGTAATGACTTGTAGTATAACATCAATGTGATTATGTGATAAGGTATGAGTTGCTGTCACCAGGTATACATTAATATGTTGGGAAACACGATAGACTTTTTATATCATATCAGTGTAATTCAGAAATCCTTTCTGAGAGCGAGGAGCTCAGCAGGGACAAATTTCTGTAGATAGATGCTTTTAAATCATTATATTTGTTCATATCATTTAAATGCTAGATCACATACAATTAACCAAAATTGATTCCTGGCTCAAACATCTTTTTTTCTCCAAGAAAAATGTGTAATTATGTTTCTCGTATTAATCACTGACAAACATTACAAACAGGGGGAATGGAGCTTTTTGACAACGTCATTCTTATTTCATTGTTATTATTATTATTATGGTTTTTCACCAAAGTTTGAAAAGACCTATTGTTTTTGTTATGTTATTATTATTCTTCCTCCGAATATGTGGTTTCGTAATCTTTTAGACAGTAAGGGATAGGCACGCAACCTATATAGTACGTCATGGAAGTACATCTGAACTTGTTAATGCCGCATTTTTAAGTAGGTCAAAAACCTAATATCGCCGCCATGACCCAATTACCATAAATTCTAAAAACAGTAATAACTCGAAACCTATTTGTCCTACAAATTTGTTACAGTTATATTTTATGTAGAGGAGGGTCATATCTAACTTTTCCCGATCATTTTAGTGTCTACATTTCCTCTGTGACGTCTTTCTTTGACGTTTTACGTCATTTAAAAAAAAACACATAGTTTAATGTAAAGTGCAGACAAAAAGTTTGAACTAAAATTACTCCAAGATCCTACGATGAAACTTTGTTTAATTGTTATGGAATAGGTTTGGTAACATGCCCTCTAAATTATGACGTGATTTTTAACTTTGTCGAAAAAACAAATGCCCGCCATGAGGCCATATTTGATTTTTGCCCTAACGTAAATATCTCAATAATGACGTGACATTTTGAAATCATCTTTGAATATGTTATGTAGAATGGCACTTCTCATAGGATTTTTTAGTGTAAAGCGTCAACTTCCGGTTATCGGTAAGGTCAAAGTTCGAAAGTGCAATTTAGGGTACCAAACTTCCAGAAACTTCTTCTCAAGTTTGGAAAGGTCTAGAGATTCGATATTTCACACACATAATGCTAAGGTAGTTGCCTAAAAAGTTTGTTAATATGAATGACCATGATCTACTTTCAAGGGGTCAATCATATTAATATGATTAAATGACGTTTTCTTACTTTTTAAGAGTAAACAGGTACATGATTTGGTTAACAACCTCCTTGCTTTTGATTGGTTTAAGCAAAAATTCAACAAAATGCCAACCTCAGGTTTTCCATAGGGGTCAAAGTTCAAAACTTCAATGTAGGGTATCAATGTATTCTCAGGTTTAAAAATACCTAGAGACTTGATATCTTATTTGTATGAAGGTAATATGATTATGTATTATTGTTGGTAATATGGATGACCTTGGCCTACTTTTAGGGTCACGGGGGTCAATTATATCAATATCAGTAAATGACGATTTCTAACTTTTAAAGAAGAAAACAATTACGTGACTTGGTCAACAATTTTTTTTGTGGAGACTTGCATTTGATTGGTTTAAGCAAAAATTCCACAAAAGACCAGCTTCCGGTTTTCCTTAGAGGTCAAAGTTAAAAAGTGCAATTTAGGGTACGAAACTACCAGAAACTACTCAAGTTTGGAAAGGTCAAGAGGTTCGAAAGTTCACACATATATTGCTAATGTTATGGAGAATGGCACTTCTTATAGAATTTTTTTGTGAAAAGCGTCAACTTCCGCTTATCGGTTGGGTCAAAGTTCAAAACTTCAATGTAGGGTACCAATGTATACAAAACGTATTCTCAGGTTTACAAAGACCTAGACTTGATATCTAATTCATATGAAAGTAATATGATTGTCTATCATTGTTGGTAATATGGATGACCTTGACCTACTTTTAGGGTCACGGGGGTCAATTATATCAATATTAGTAAATGACGTTTTCTAACTTTTAAAGAGGAAAACAATTACGTGATTTGGTCAACAATTTTTTGTGGAGACTTGCATTTGATTGGTTTAAGCAAAACTTTCTGAGTTTTCCTGAGGAGTCACATTTCAAAACTTCAATGTATGGTATCAACATATACGAAATTTCTTCTCAAGATAGGAAAGGCCTAGAGATTCGATACATCACAAATATAATGCTAAGATAATTGTCTATTGAATTTGTAATTATGAATAACTTTGACCCACTTTTAAGGTTACATGGGTCAATTATATCAATATCATTAAATGATGTTTTCTTACATTTTAAAAGGAAAACGGTTACGTGATTTGATTATTAACCGCCTGTAGAGACTTGCTTCTGATTGGTGTAAACAGACCTTCCACAAAAGACCAACTTCCGGTTTTCCTTAGAGGTCAAATTTCAAAACTTCAATGTAGGGAACCAAGGCATACGAAACTTCTTCCTAAGTTTGAAAGGGCCTAGAGACTTGTTATAGCATTCATATAAAGTTAATATAATTGTCTATAACTGTTGTTAATATGGATCGCCTTGACCCACCTTCAAGGTAACTGGCGTCAATCATGTAAAAAAAATCCTAAGAATTCACTATAATATTTTTAGAGGTAAACAATTTAAAAAATTTTCTTAAAACCTCTTGTAGTCCTGTGGACAATTACTACAGATAACAATAAGTAATGTTTTCCAAAAAAATCAACATATTTTTTTTCGATACAGCTCAGAATTAACGTTATACAGCATTATTTTGGAAAAGAGTAGCCCAGTGCTTTAATCTCTTACTATTGGTGATTCCTTTCGTACTTTGATTTAATACAGAGTGCCAATGTCTTGCAGGCATTGTCTTTAATTACAGGCCAAAATAGATGAAAAGCGCGTCAAAATTGTCTATGTCAGTTTCTAGTTATTATATGTTATATTGACTATGATACATATATATATATAAATGGACCATGGGTCGGGAATTCGTGTCAAATCCCTGTGTATTGAATCATATCCATCGTTTCAAAGAAGTACGTACAATGTTTATACAATAGCCGGTGTAGTGTACTATTGAGACACCCACTTCCATCATTGCGTGGTTACAATGAAGGAAATCATGTCACGATAGGATAGGTTCTACAATGACGTTAAAATACATAGTTGTAATGATGTCGTTAGCTTAGTAAATCATAGCTGATCACTACCATAAAATAACATTGTGAACATGTATAGACGGTTTTGAATTTTGGCAGTATGCAGTATGTATTCCAGCACCGTCCATGTACATAGTTTAAATGTTAGTCCGCGATTCTAGATAACCCATGTCAGTTTGACTCCATATCCTAAACGTGTCATAGCAGATGGTAATCTAATCGATGTTCTTTTGAGATGATATCACACAGCTCAAAGTATTCCCAATCAACCGTGACGTTGCAACCAACAACATCAAATTGATGGCATGATCCAGTACTATATATTTTTTATATTTTAGCCAATCAAAAAGATGTTTTTGAAGTCTTAGTCTTTTGAGCTGCGTTAGGATTTTTGAAACTCATATTTGACCATAAGTAAGATATAATCCAATATGTCGTGTATGATATTTTTCACATCCTGTATTAAAACATATTCTGACTGATGCCTGTAGTACATGGTTTACGCACAATCGAATTCTCGAATAAGGTTCATACTCGTATATATGTGTCATAGTCGCTTTAATACATACATATATACATTGATAATGGGTCGGGAATTCGTGCCAAATCCTTGTGGTATGTAGCGTAAAAGAAGTGCAGTAATATATTTTAAACGTATTTCAGAATTTTTGAGTGGCTAAAATTCATGCATCTATAAGTTCCAAAATAAGAAAAGCGTTAGATTGTTATCGCATGTGCATGGATCCTTAAAAGAAATACGCTTAGGTGCGTAGAGTAGTCTCCCTTTACCACTCGACCGTGGGAAATTTAAAGATGGCGAGAAGAAAGGGGAAAGACGAAGATAGACTGTCGTGTACTTTTGTTTTTGATGGCACATTGCAATCAGGAGTGCGAGGGTCACTGATTATCGAACTTATTAAGTATCTTCTATATGAACGACAACAGATCCCTTTGCCTGTCGACTACGTGAAGCAAGAGTTGAAAAAACTATCAGAGAGTCAATTAGAAACCGGACAACAGGTGCTTTAATTTAGAAATTGGGTCGTCTCTTATTTCAGAGGAACACTTTGGAACTTCAACACATCCTCTCAACTAAGAGGCTTAAGATTGTCCTATTTCAAACAAGATTTTGTAAGGACAACTCTTGTACATTAGGAAGCAAGTTTAAATATTTGATGTAATTTATCAAAAATATAAATATATATATATTCTTAAATCTTATTTAATGCCTGACAATATAAATGTCATTAAACAAATATGATTCACTGGACTTTCATCCACATGCAAATTATGTATCGTTGAGAATACTTCATACTCCCCAGTTTTGTTGTTACCGAATATGTTATACTGCAGTAAAATGTGGGAGTATCGTAATCATTTAACAATTGTATATCATACCATATTCACATACGTAGTACCCAACCTCCTTGCCCAGTAATACAATATATAATATACAGAATACAAGATCAGTATCTTAAAATGTCGCTGTATTTTGGTGAGGGTAAACATGGACAATAGTTGTCTTTCTGTCCTGAGCCGAAATGCTACTTTCGTTTTTAAACACTGATCATGTGTTGTATTTATCCTGCAACGTCTATTGAGAATTTAGACTATCGGAACTTCCACTTTGTTACGTCTTTTTAATTTTGTTTACCTGGCATCAGTATTTCACTGAATTGTGCCTGATGAGGCATGTCAACATAATTGCTCCAACCGGAAATCTATTTCCACATTACAATGGTATTCAATTTATTGAATATTCATAAATAAACTTGTTACAACAATTGCTTATTTAAATGGATATATATATTTTTAAATGAGATATTTAAGAAAATTAGAAAGAATTATAATTCTATCAAATAAATGCACTTGCTGAAATACAGCTGTTTTTCATTACTGTCCATTACAGTAAAAATATATGTGGCAGGTGTATTCTAACAATGGCAGCACCAGCTGCAGGATAAAACGAAATGTAAAGCAGCAACTTTGCACTTAGGCTTGTGTGATTATGCTAAAATTAGAAACATGTTTTATTTTTCGTTTATTTCTTTTTTGTCAAGAATGTAAAGCATGATGATCTAAACAAAGGTGAAGGTAAATACATGTAATTTTTAAAAAGAACTTATTTATGTAAATTACATGTACATCAGTGTGTCTGAGTTGAAAGGTGTGTTTTGAGTTTATGTGCATGCATTTGTCATCCATTTTCGTTACTCATTGGCTTTACATCAGCTATTATGACCTTTTGTTACGTAAAGCTGTCTATAAATAAATAAGTTGTCATTTAGGGATGATTATTGTTGATTCTACATTTATGTAGTGACCCATCTATATGAACGTTGGATATGAGATTCTTCACAATTGTGTTTATGCAAGAAATGCATTTTCCTCAAAGTTTGTTCCAACCTTGTGCTAATTGTTTTCTTTTTATGTGTGGGGAAAAGATAGTCAACAGGAAGCCATTTTTTAATTATCAAATGTAAAATTTTAGATTTTCTTCAAATATCTTTTTTTTTTTGTACATGTAATTTTTTTATCTATAAATATTTGTATAATGCTGTGGTGACATGCCATTCTCACTTCGAAAAGAAGAATTAATACACAGTTATATAGATGTTACTGCATGTACATACATCAATACAACAATTAAGAAAAGAAAAGAAAGCTATATATCAGATTATAGTCAAAGTATACATTCAGTGTATGTCAACCAAATTCATGGAATCCTTTAATTATGTACTGGTTTTGTCTGTTTCCTTGTCCATTTGTTAATATGTTTTACTTTTTCAAAAAGTATGAATTACTTTACATTCTGACTGCAACTAATCATGTTTAAATATAAAATTTTGATTATGTGTCGAAGAACTCATATGGGCGAAGGGAAGCAACCACTATGAAGATATTTGAAGAACCTTTGTCCACAAAATAATTTTACTTTCTCAGTGAAACAAAAATGCATATTTTTCTTGTTTATTTCAATATTTTGTCATATTATGCTATGAGTCTTTGTCAGAAGAATGTTAGTACATATATTTAAAAACGACACTCACCAGATGAATACTTCCACTTATTTTGGTATGCACATTCACAACTTTTAACCTCAGCAAAATGCAATACTGGATCTGTTACTTAAAAATTCATAAATTCAATCGGCATGTTTTTGATAATTTTGTGGTGAAGATTTACTAGTAATTTATGATCAAAATTTGGACAAAAAATCAAATTGTTAGTCTTTTTTCCGAAATAGGCTTTGAAGGTTGGCAATAAAGCATGGTAATCTTTGAAATGTTTTTTTAACCCACCATTCAGTTCAAATATTGCAAACATTAACGTCCCAGTCCCAAAATGAATGCAGCATCCTTGTATTTACCAATTGTATGGCTTGATTTCTTCCTTCTGATTATTTGTAAAGTGCTTTTAATTAGGTGTGATATCAATAATGCAATTTATTTTCTCTTGTTGGCTTTTCAGAATGGTTCTAGAAAACCAAGATGTCGACAGTTGAACAAGCTAGAGGTTAAGAGAGCCACAAACACAGTTAAGAATTTGGAGGAATTGTCATCACATGTACTGCAGGTTTTTGAGTTGTGTCCTGAGATCCAAAAGGTCCTTCTGATGTTTGGAGGAACATCCGTCAGTCCCAAGGAATCTTATCTGGTGAATCTACCTGATATCAATCCAGAGGCAGAGGGTCTCCCTCTGAAAACCTGTGTAAGATCCCTGTACAGACAGCTTGTATCACAGGACATAATGGGTAACTCAAAGCGAATAGGACCCACAAGCTTGAGAGTGTTACTCCATGCTCCCAGGGAGTCAGGAGTGGAATGGTTCCTTCCAAAGCCGACATTCAGAGTACCCAAGAGGGGGAAACAAATTGTTTTGAATCTTTGTGGCAAACATTCCAATACTTACAGTCAGAATATCACCAAGGATGAATATGAGATAGAAATATCTGGAATTGAACCACTAGAGTGTTCCAATACCAGTGTTTGTCTTGAAGAAGGCAGTGAAGACCATTTGTCATTCTTTTCAAATAAATGGGCTCATGATAGTCCCAACAGTTATAGCTCTCAGTCACAAGATAGTCTTTCAACAATGGGTATAAATTCAACAGACACGATCATTCAGAGTGTTGTAAACATGCAGTTTAATGATGTGATAAACGAAAGTATAGATGATCACTTAATCACCCTGAAAGAAGAACAATATGTGTGGTTCCAGGCACCACTTTTGGTGAAAGGATATAAAGACAGATCATCAAGACAGGCCTCAATGACTGATGGCTTGATATAAAGTGTAGTGATAGCTAGCTGCAGATTACACTGATTATATTAACCAGTACAACTTTATAATGTGAGAAATTAAACAGTACGAGAACCAAAACTCCAATTGTTTCAAATACTGGTATCTTATTGGATGTATACCTTGTGATGTTTAACAAAGGTCCTTCAAATTTTCCCATATGGTGAACATAAGATGTGGAAATAAACGTTTCCCAACATCCAAGTTATCTCCTTTATTGTGTTCTAGATTTGGTCAAAGTTTCAACCTCTATGGAGTCATCATCAGGACCCCGTGAAACATCTAGATCACAGTAAGGGAGATAACTCTTCTTGGATCTTGAGAAGTCTTCATTTCCACATTTTACTTTATAATGTATGATTGTATATCCAGGCGGGGCTACTTCAGGTTAACTGGTGAAGGCTACATTGTGTAGACTAAACACCTTAAATAATGGATGGCTTTAATGAAAAATGTATATGTATTTGTTACAAAATGTAGTGATGTGAATAACATGTTGTCAGGATAAGGAGCACTAAATTCAATACAGCTTCTATAACATGAAATGATGGTTTTATAGTTTACTTTTATACTATTTATGTGACAGGATACTCTACCTCTGGTGGTGAGAATACATGTGAAGGAAGGCCTTCATGACTTAAATGTACCTCGGTGACAAGTATTAAATAATAAATGACAGAATATGAGATGCGTGTGGATGATAGGGAGATCGACTTGAGTATATGTATCATATTAAAATATGGTGGTCATGTTAAAATTATTTTTATCAGAACAGTTGTGTTCCAGTTTTATACCTATGAATTTGTAACTTATTTTGTTCATATTATATTTTCAAGAAACATGTTTAACATAAAATGCTATATTTCAAGAACTACAACATTCACAATAAACCATACAAGATAAAAAAGTGTTTTTTTTTTTTTGTAACTGAAATAAAACCACCGCCAACATACACATGTGGAAGGCTTTATTTCAATTTGATATGTTAAATTGTTTGATATAACAATACTTGAGGTTTGGTTGACAAAATAGAACAATATACTTCATTGAACCTACCTAGCGTCAAGGGCACTAAAAAATTGAAAAATTTACAGGATGTGTAATAGGACCATTTTGATAGATCAGATCCACACATAACAGTAGTAGTAAACTTTTTAGCTGTGACACATTGTCTGATGTCATCTTTTCCTTGAAACACTTCTTCTCAAAAAACCACTGCATGAACTTCAACCAAATTTGGTCTAAAGCACCTTTCTGAGTAGGGGCTCAAAATTATTAAAAGGAAATTGATTAGCCCCCTGGGGGCCCAAAAGGGGAAATAAGGATTAAACTTTAGAGATCTTCAAACTGAGAGAAGACACAGCTTCGATGTTTCATTTTTGTTGTGCTGTATCAGGAAACGTTAAAATCAGGCCATAAATATGGCCACACCAATAGTATTGCCAAGTCACATGATTTTCCCTAGGTCAAAGGTCAACATAGTCAATAATGGAAATCAAACAACAAAACTTTTCTTTGACATTTGTAGTATGCTAATTTAAGTTGTATGTAATATGTTACTCAGAATGGTAGGTGTTGAAAGTATTCATGATACATTCTTGTGCTGTCTGTTGTGATGATCATCTGAAAACAGGTAAGCAATACAGGCCCTTCATTATCAATGGTCTGAAAAAATATTGCATGTGCACTATTACATGGTGTTACTTAAATGACTATAATGATACTTTGGGAAACTATAAATGGGGATTGAATGGCACTTAATGAAAGATGGGCTCTTAATCGGTCAATATACAATTAAATATTATACTAGCATCATTACAACTCAAAAGATAAACTAGTATTTTATGTTTATAGTAACAATGGCATTGACATTTAACCTTTCGACCTGAAAATCAATCCCACGCAACAAGTCATGAAAAGAAAGTGGTGTGTGAAGTTTGATTGTAATCTTTCATCTCTAGTCAGCTGCATCACCACGGCATGAAGTTGTGCTTTCTTGGTTGGCACTTAACCTTCTCTGGACTTTTTTGCAGCAAGTCATTTCCTCCAAATTGCTATCCATCATATGTACTTTCATCTGTCTTAATTTTCCAACCGAAGTTTTTAAAATTTTAATGTTTGACGAGAATATGATATTGTGTGTTCCTGGACATTATGCAACATTTTAATTCAACAATTTTGGAAATGTTGTTAATATTTTCAGTATTTGATTGATCTCTAATGAAAACTTGGTATCCTTTATTGTCAAAGCGCCTTCTGTGGTATTTTGGCCTGAAGAGTTACATAGTATGTTGCCAGTTGTTTTCTGCTTTGGATTGCGTCTTGAAATATTATCTCCCTTTGTTTTCAACTGAATTCTTTTAAGCTGTATCAATATGACACGAAGTTGTGCTTTCTCAATGACATCTTGTTTAGTTCTTTCCCTTTCCATAATAATATTAATTCAGATACAGTGATATTGGAATTCCTTTTGATTTTAAATTAATACTACATATTGTTCCATCTTGTTGGTGTGCAATTTATTGTTTGCTTGCAAAGTTCTGTCATTTAAACAATAAATTCAATGCTTAAACGGTATTCACATTTATTCGGAATGGGCTTCATATGAATTTATTATTATATTCAAATCAAATATGCATGTACATTTACAAATAAGTACGTCCTTGATAGGAATAATAACTATTATTTCAAAGTATTACATTAGAAAACATACATGTTTACTATAAACTATTGTTAAAAAGTGGGAAATATCCTTTATCGAAAAATCGCGTCGTCTTATACCAATGAATTTGGTGAACGTAACACGTAATAATTATTTGGGGTCGCCTCCATAAGTTTTGTTGCATTCCGGCGTATTGGTAACAGATTTGGTTTTGTATTTACTTTTCAATGATACTTCCTTCCGCTAGTATAATCGTGATCACCGAAATGTTTCGATGTTTTGCACCAGAATGGAACAGCCGAATTTTTCAAGGTGGATCATCGGTGAATTTTGAAGTAAGATCGCAACAACGTCAAAACTTTCATATATTTAGTATATCTAGATTTACTGAATAGCATTTTCTTTCCACCTGGAATAGATCCGCCTTTCTAAATCTCATATTTTGAAACATGGCCCCTACAGTCTATAGATCTAATGTGACATGCCTTGCTTGCGTAAGGACCACAGGCACAGGTACCAGCCTCGTTAGCCCGAATTATTCTGACGTTCTGTCGACTTTTATGTTTCTTCTGGATTAGACTCAGTTTCAATATATAACCTTAGTCTCGTCCGTCAATACACTCGTACCTAGTACGTATGATAAAACTTTTCATTGCTGCTATCTAACTTTTTGCTGAAGTGGAAATTTATATCATTGACTTGGTTCTCCATTTATGACAGTGTATAACCATTAGGATTATTTCATTTATGCATATGCCATTGCATATATTCTTTGCTTCTTTGCACTTTGAAATTAAAAACACACGCACACACACAAACAAAGGATTGGGGGGGGGGGTGTTGTTGCGTGGCACAATAGAAGTACAGTGTTGGAATTTAAGTTACATGCATGTGTACCCACTGTACAATATTGAATAGTAGAATCTGTACATTTGATATATCTAAGACAATTGCAAGGTAGTTACAGTATTTTTTCAAACTTGGATAATATGAATTCTCAGTGTTATCAATGTGTAGTGTTTTTAACAGATTCAACAATTTTCAGAGTAATACTGTTACATATGAATCTGATTCACAGACACAGTCATAAAGACATTTTTTTTAAAGGAAGAACAAAGAAAACAAAATATTATAAAATTGTATGATGTTTCATAGTTTGAATTGTTTTCAGGTTTGAATGCCAGTGATGTAAGCATGAGTTTCGCTGCTGTTTTCTGTGGATGTGCTTCCAGGGCAACCACTCTTTTGCACTGCCCAAGGATATATAACTGGCCAGCAGTGCATATAATCAGGTGATAGTGTACAAATTCTGTCTTGACTGTAGAGAAGATGTGTGTAACACCAAAGAAATACTAAAACAGAAAATCTTAAGTTTAAAGTTAAGCGGAGCAATGATTCTGATGTTTTTTGTTCAATTTTGAAAAAAAATCTTGATCTTGGTTCCTGTTGTCTGCAGGAAGCATTTGGTCTGGAGTTTATTCAGCAGGATATATACAATAGTGTGTGTGTTGAGTATAACTATAATTCTTCATGTTTTGGAATTTTCATCGGGTTAATTATGCAAATTTAACAGTTCATCCTTGGAAAAGAGTACATTGTACTTATAAACCATTCCACAATTTTATAAAAGGATTGCTTTCCTAAATGATAGATTGGGATTTTTAGCTCACTTTCTCTGTCTGTAGTCCATTATACTTTATCCCTCATTCTGTTTATCACTATTACTTGAGAAGTAATGAATGGATCTTAAATTTCATATGTAGGTCCTCTTGGTTCCATGTTATGCTCATTTGATGCTTGGACTGATGAGATAAAACCAAAAACCCAACAGGCAGTCAACTTAATTTTGACCATGAAAGTTTGTTAATGCTATTTCTTGAAAAGTACTGGATGGATATTTCTCAAATTTCATAAGTGAGTCCCGTTAGTACTTTGATGTGTTTCTTTGATTTTGGGACTGATCAGAAAACAAAATAGCTGAGTCTCTTCTTATTTTTACAAAGTTTGTGAATGTTCTTTCTCAAATTTTGTATCTATTCCCTTGGACACTAGGATGGTGGGCACTTAGATCTCTCTAGGATATCTTGTTTGAATAGTAAAGGCAAAGAGACAATCAGTATGTGATGATATGCATCCCATTTCTAATATTCAGCTCTAGATATCAACATTTTTATGGCTATGTTTTATATTTACCCTAGTACATATTTCAAAAAACTTCTTAAGATTTCCAGGATTGTTATATTAAAAGCCAGGACGTATACAACAGAGCCAATTTGGTACTATTGGACATGTTGGAGACTGATTTATAGAGACTTTACGGTACATGTTATGTCTTTTTATGCTCTATAGACAGGCCTACAGTCTCAGTTTTAAGTTTCAAATTTGACAATTTATTTTTTTTACAGATGTTCCCACTATGATGTCCTTGGTGTACCTGAAAATGCCAGCCAAAAAGACATAAAATCTGCCTTTATAGATAAATCAAAAAAGGTATATTTTGATTAACTTGAGGACAAGACAGGAAATACCTGCCAACAGAATCTTGATCCTAACTCAGATTTGATGAAGGATTTCAAGGATTACTGTAATATTAGTAAAGGACAAAGTTATGATAGATTATGCCAAAAAATAGAAAGTAAACTTGAGAACAAAGAGGGAAAACATTTCTGTTTCATCAATGACACCTGTCAACAGGTCCATTCAAGTAAATGTCATTCTTTCAGAAGGAATACCTGATCAATAACAGCAGAACACTGGACAATTTAGTGAGCATCAGATAAATAGAATGTTTTCCTATGAGGTCAAAATAGTGACCACAAACCTGTATAATCTTCTCAAAACTCTGTTTAAGTTTTTTGTCAGTTGTTCACATCAGTCAGAGAAATCACAATTCATATACATGTATTGAAGACAAGTGTTAGAAAATAACATCACCTACAATATATCAACACGATAGGATTGGGAACTTGGAGCTTACTATTGAGAAATGGATAATTAAAACAAGTCTTAAAAAATGACATCATCTACAACATATCAACACTGTAGGGTTAGGAACCAGGAGGTTACTATTGAGAAACAGACAGTTAAAATTATGGAAACTAAAATCAAAACTCTTTTCATACATTTTTTTGGAAGTTAAAGGGCTGATATATATTAAATCTGCGGAGTCCTTACTGAAAATATAATGACAAGTTCTGGAGAGTTAATGCATTGGATATAGTCAATGGATTTCTCTTAATCAACAAAAGTATATTTGGTCAACTTAAATTAAAATCACTGGTATGATTTCAAAAGAAGCTATACTTCTGTGACATCTTTAAACACTGTGACTTCGGGAAAACTTTGTGACTGATGAATTGATGAGATACATGTAAATGTAAGGGTTACCTTTCAAATGACAGTTCACAGCTTTGAAGTCATTAGATTTCATCACTTTCATGCCTCTTCAGCTTAAAAGTACATCATCAAAAAAATTTTTAACAATCACTTTTGGGTACCAGCCATTCCCTTCCACTTTCCTTCCTGAGTGTATATTATATATTATTAAGTAAAATATTGTAGTGCAAAAAAGGTATTGTTTTTTTTTAATCATTTTATAACATGTGTGTATGTTTATATGATAAGAAGGTTACCCGGTACTTTATTTTGTATTCCAGTTCCACCCAGACAGAAATTCTGATCCTAATGCAAAGAAAATGTTTGCAAAGTGTGCTGAGGCATATGAAGTTTTGGGGAAAGAAAAATCACGGTCTGATTATGATGCTTCTTTGAAACATTCATCATACTCATATGATACTTCATCGTCTTCAAAGTCAACAGGACCAGATCCATTCCAGTCACCAGGATTTAATCCTAGACAAAAGAGCAACCCTTATAGGACATATGCAGCTCGGAATCGTGGAACGTATGGGTAAAGAAAAATGATCTAATTCTTCAGCCAATTGCTGATCAGTAAAAATAAATTACTGTAGATCAGCATTGGTTTGTTTTGAAGCATCTCTGCAAAAATTAAGGCAGCAAATCAGAACTTATATATTGAACATCAATTTTCATAGTCAGTATTTGTTTTATTATACATGAGGTCAAAGGTCAAATCAGTTGCAATTTTATCTTATTATCTTATAACATATTTTCTGGACAATAACTGATAAAGATATCTCAATGAAACTTGCTGTATACGTTTATACTTGATAGCTGATAAGTTCCTAGCATGATGCCTTACAAAGTTTGTAAAAAAACCTGAAACAATTCTTCTGGTAAACCAAGTCGTAGAAGCACGATATTAGGTGGAAAGGTGTTCTGGGTCACAGCAACAAATTTTTGTTGATAAAAAAAGAAACATTTTCTTTAAATCCAGGTCATAATTGTAACTGTTTATAGTTGAATATTAGAAGCTTGTTGTGAAAACAGGTTAGAGTTAATTGGATGTGCCCACTTTGAATGCCAATGGTGAACATTCTAAAGTATCTTTTAATGTATTTGTGATAAACATTGATCCTGTTTTTGATAAACATTAAATACCAGGTGAGCAATGCATGCCCATGGGCCTTATCGCATTTATTGCCATATCTAGCATGATTCTCTTTACTATAGCTACTAAAACTTACCAACATTGGTAACAGTAACACAATGACAGATAAAATAGAACAGTGAATATTCTTAATATTCAGCCTACCAGCAATATTTGGTGGGCTTTTCAAACTACCCTACATTCATATGTCATTTGATGGCTTTCATACGCCAGTCTTGGATTTTGACAATGAGAATTTATTGTCCCATTTTTATGCTCCTGAAAATTTTCGGGGTAGCATGTAGTTGCCATCTTGTCCGTCCATCTTTCTGTCTGTCCTTTTGTATCCAGAGCAAAGTCAAGCAAGGATCATGAAACTTGGTGTATACATTGCTTACACTAAGGAATGTGCAGTGTACCAAACTCAGGGCACTTGGCCGTAAATTGCCGAAAGACTGCACATAATTAAAATTCCATGTGCGGAGCATCACTTTGCTTGGATTTTAAATTGGGATAATAAAACTGGGTTTGTACATTTATCATCCTAAGATAGTTAAAGCTTGTTTTCTGGTTTGAAATTTTAGTGAGAGCTGGAATCCCTTTGAATATGGAGAAGATGTATTCTTTAAACAAGGACGTCAGCGAGAAAAACAGTACTGGCAAAAAGGCACGGATGTGAGAAAATCACGGACTATGGATCCCAGGGAAGCTGCCAAGAAAGAGAAACAAATGTTTAAATATTTAGGCACTTTCCTGTGTATGTTTGTGATACTGCATGTAATCAGTGATTTTAGATCAAATTATGAAACGTAAGTAACACTATTATAACCTCCATTCCTTACTCGGCTGTCTTGTATTGAGATAGTGAAAAGTTAAAGTGCCTTGGATGAACAAGGTTGGCTAAAGCTTATGTCAGGAAGTGGAATTTACGTAAATTATTTGGAACCCTTCTTCTGTTGTAGAAAGGAGTTGACTTTGTAAAAGAGAATTGGCTTGAAGCATTCTAAGGTGAAGGGCAAACAATTCTGTACAAACGATGGGTCTAGGCCTCTTGGGGCAAGATGGGCAGGGTCAATTATGGGAAATTCTGTTCCAATGTGGTATGCAAATGGTTGGGTGAAGGGAATTAAATCTTGTATAAGTGATGGACCTCTGCCACCTAGGCAAGAGGGGTGGGAGTCAGTGGCAGAAATTAAGCAAAGTCTTTAAAATCCTTTTACTTCCATAGGAATTTCAGGATTCTGTCCCAATATGGTGTGAAGCATCTTAAAGGTCAAGTTGACCGATTGCAATTGTGTTTCATCCATATTCATATGCCATCTGCCATGCACTTTCCTCTAAAACAACTTCATTTCAATAACCAAAAGCTCCAGGGTACTGAATTAGGCCTGGAGATTGCTGGGATGAAGGGCTACCAAGTTTGTTCATTTGAATGACCATGACCCTCTTTCAATGTGACAGGAGTCAAACATTCTTAAGTCTTCAAGCAACTTCTTCTCATTAACCAAAACCCCAGGGGCATTAAATATTGTTTCTGTAGTGTGCTGGGACAGATACTGTATCTCATAATGTTGATTTTAGGTAGTTTAGGCTATAATTTGAATTTTTAAGTCACCTGAAACAAAGTCTAAGTGAGATCTATTGCGATTCCCTTTCCTCCGGTGTTGTGCGTCATAAGCTTTTAACATTTTCTGCTTCTTCTAGAAAACTCCTGAACTGATTTCAATGAAATTTTACTAAAACCTTCCATGGCTAGTGGTGCATGAAAATTGTAAATTATGTGGTCCCCCACCCCCAGGGGCTTAAGGGGCAGAGCCTAAATGGGTCAAATTGATTGAAACTTCAAAAAATCTTATTCTCTAATCCCAGGTAGGGTAGAATCAAATACTCTTCATGGATAGAAAGGCCTCAGATGCTTTACCAAAATTATAAATTTCATGACCCCCAGGAAGTCACATTTCCCTTTGGGGAAAGGGTAAAGTTTACTATAAAATTATTTTTTATTGGAAATAGTTCAAACATTGTTAGAATTATAAGTTTAAGATGACAGTTTGATGAGATGCACATACATTGAATGCTGTAGATGTATTGACCTCAGCTGAACCCCAGGGGCTGTTGAACTGGTATAAAAATGGCTCAAATTGACTGAAATTTCAAAAATCTTCTTCTCAGTACCCAGATTATGTAGAACAGTGCTTACGGTGCTTTACCAAAATTGTAAATTTCATGACTCAAGGGTCTTGCATTTCCCCTTTGGAGGGGGGTATAATTTACTCTAGTTTGTATAGGATAATAACATTTTTGAGTATAATTTGTTTATTTTCTTTTAGAAATAGTTCAAAGCTAGTTAGAATCATTACTATAAGCTGACAGTTTGATGAGATGCACTTATTGACCCCTCAGAGGTTGATAGGCAGGGCCAAAAATGGGTTAAATTTCAAAAAAAAAATTCTTCTCAATACCCAGATAAAGTAGAACCAAATACACTTCTTGGATTCTTGGATGGAAATTTTCTTATGCAACTTACCAAAATTGTAAATGTCATAACCCCAGAGTCTAAAATTTTTTTAGGGGGAAGGGGACTAATAGGTGGGACCAAATATTTGTCCAATTGACACATTTTCAAAGATATTCTACTGTCCTAGATGAAAGATTTTATAATAGGAAAATTCAATTTTTGAGTGTAATTTCTTTTTATTCAAACTTGGTTTGAAGCCTTTGCATGAAACGCCAGTTAATGTTATGAACAATTTACATTTGTATTATGTGTACAACGTTATCTTACTTTTTTAACAAAATCATTTCTATGACATGTTACAAGAAGCATTGTAACTCAAATAACCATTAAGGCCCTTGGGCTTCTTGTAATAATGTCAAATAAAATTTTTATGGGGCCCAAAAGGGGTAAATTTCTCTATCTGAATTATGTGGTATTCATATGATAGTAATAGCCAATCAAACAGCTCATGTTAGGTTTGTAAGGAGACCCTTTCTTATCAAATGATTATGAATTCGCCCATACCAAATTGAAAAGTCTTGTTTCAATTGAGATAATTTTATTTTCTATTTTCTCACAGGATGAAGAGACAAAAGAAAATAGAAAAACGGATAAAAGAGAGAGATGAATATAGAAAGAAGTTCAAGGAGGATCATGGAATGAGCTGATTAGAATGAGGTAATTATAAGTAACCTGATATATACTTAAAAATGTATGTTCAGACCTTGATGGAAATGCAATAGTGTAAAATGTTATATGTATACTCTGACCTTGTTAGGAATGAAGTAATTACAAGTGTCTGTTCTCCACTTCCACCAAAACAACGATTGGTGGTAAAGGTTATAAGGTCAACTGAGATTTTGGATTTTGCCCTTAAGTTGGTCTGAAGTATCTTTGAGTGAAGGGAATCAATTTTGTGTAAACATTGATTTTTGCCCCCCTCGATATGGCAAGTATAGCAAGTTCTATAAAATCCTACTCCTTTTGTAGAAGTGATTGGAATTTGAGGAGTGGGGCGACATAGATTTTAGCGTACTTTGTATTTTCTAAAATAAAACTATGATAACATGTACTGGTAAGCTGGACAGGCACGACAATTAAATGTACTTAAATGTAACACTTGTCTAAGAGTAGGTCCATTTTATTGTAAAATTTTGCATCTGAAAGTATAACATAATTATGTTATTTTAACAACTTATTTAACCTTCGCAAGAAAATCATGTACTCACTGGATTTGAATTGATTTTGATATACTTGGTATGAAGTGAAATGCCTTATCAGTTAATACTGATACTTGATAAGTTCTTGGTAATTGATGCTCTTGGTACTTGACGAAATAAAAGGTCCAGATTTTGTAACCAATGTTTGCCATACCTTGTTTAAAACAAGCATTTTTGTTTAATTCACAGATAAAAAATTACTTGAGTCAGCCAGAGCCATTCCCAAGCAGATTTGAACTGTAGTTTGATCTTCATGGAGAGCCAGTAACATACCAGGATGAGAATTATCTGTTTTACACAATCCTGAAATATCTAAGTGGGGATCTGAGCTGTTGTAACATCCAAGATAATATGATGCAGATTTTTCAGAGGAAAAATATTTTACAGAAAAATCATTCATAGAAGAGGGGATGTCTTGGACCTATGAATGCAAATGTTGTTTAACATTATTTAACTTTGTAAATTATGACTTTCCAATTCATTGGCAGGAATATACAAAGTAATGCTCTTTTTGGCATTTGATGTGAATTCCCAAACTATTTGACTTTAATTTTAAAGTCAATGACAGGTCTGAAATAAAGCAGATTTTTACATTTACATGATTATCAGATATTATTGATTGAATTTGAAATGTTCAATTTTTCATTTCTGATGAGGTTTATATAAAACAAAGATACCTGTTATATGGATGGTGTGCCTTCTAATAATGATGTTTTGTTCAGCTTTCCTACTGAACTAAAGCATGTGGTATTTTTAATGCTCAGATCAATTTTAATTGGCTAAAAGTGACCCAGCTTCTGCCATTGTGTAACTTTCAGGATTTCAGTATTAAAACAGCAGAGATGAAACTATCCCTATCTGAAATTGACTCAGTTACATTGACTCAGAGTTACATTGACTCAGAGTTACATTGACTCAGTTACATTGACACGGAGTTACAATGAAACTGCAAACAGAGTAATGAGTCATACATGTAAATTCAAAGAGTAATGAAAATGCCAGTTGATCTACAGCTTCATTTGCAGTGATTAACTTTTGTGGATTCATTGCAATTACAAAAACAGCTAAATAACTTAACTGCACACCAAAGAATTTTTTTACAGTGCTCTGCACACTGAACTGAAAATGGTTATACCATTGATAAATTAGAATGATTTCATATTTTTATTTTCAAGCAAACTGTGTGCAGAAAACTTTCTTAAATTGTTGATATGTTATTGTGATATTGATTTTGCATTGTGAAGGACTATTTATTAAAATGTTGAAATTAAAATGCTGTGTATATTGTTTCTTTTCTTAATTTGTTTTAGCATGAACATCATCTTCATCAATATCTTTATTGGCATGTGTATATTGTAAACATATTGATAGGGTTTACATGTACTTTAGTGTTCAGCATCCATGTGACAAAAGGTGGCATTTTGTAGGTTGACAGAATGTTAATAATGCCCTCCAAGAAGACAGCACTGTCCCCCAATCTTAATGGATAGTGTAGACTTAATGGGTAGTACTGTTTTGTGACCGAAGAATTAGAACTATCCCGACTAAATCAGTGGTAATATCCCTAGATATAAAGAATAGTGCTGTCCCTGATTGAATAGGTTAGTATAGTCCACTGACTGAGTGGGTAAACATTGTCCCCTGTCTGAATGGGTTAGTATAGTCCACTGACTGAGTGGGTAAACATTGTTCCCTGTCTGAATAAGCAGTACAGTCCACTGACTGAGTGGGTAAACATTGTTCCCTATTTGAATGGGTTAGTATAGTCCACTGTCTGAGTGGGTAAACATTGTTCCCTGTGTGAATGGGTTAGTATAGTCCACTGTCTGAGTGGGTAAACATAGTTCCCTGTCTGAATGGGTTAGTATAGTCCACTGTCTGAGTGGGTAAACATTGTTCCCTGTCTGAATGGGTTAGTATAGTCCACTGACTGAGTGGGTAAACATTGTTCCCTGTCTGAATGGGTTAGTATAGTCCACTGTCTGAGTGGGTAAACATTGTTCCCTGTCTGAATGGGTTAGTATAGTCCACTGTCTGAGTGGGTAAACATTGTTCCCTGTCTGAATGGGTTAGTATAGTCCACTGACTGAGTGGGTAAACATTGTTCCCTGTCTGAATGGGTTAGTATAGTCCACAGACTGAGTGGGTAAACATTGTTCCCTGTCTGAATACGTAAGTAGTACAGTCCACTGACTGAGTGGGTAAACATTGTTCCCTATCTGAATGGGTTAGTATAGTCCACAGACTGAGTGGGTAAACATTGTTCCCTGTCTGAATGGGTTATTATAGTCCACAGACTGAGTGGGTAAACATTGTTCCCTGTCTGAATGGGTTAGTATAGTCCACTGACTAAATGGGTAGTATCAGTACTGACAGAATAAGTAATGATGTCCTTGGACTGAATGGATGGTAGAATAATTAGATCAGCATGTTGTTTATGTATTATGATGGTTGGAGTATTAGTGTCACCTCAGATAAGTACTAGTGTCAAATTAAATAATGGTTAAACTAAATTGCTCTTTGTCTGTTGTCCACTGTCTGTCCTTCAACAAGTCTTCTTAACAGAACTATTGAGTGGACGTTTATCAAATTTTTTCAGCTCTTTTGGATAAGTATCCTTTTTAAGAAATGGTATGTGATGGATGAGAGATGTCTATCAATGATAGAATACAGGTGTTGAAGTTAGTGGTCAATTACATGTGCGTAAAAAACAGCAGGTGCTTGAAAAAGAAAAATAAGGAAGCAACAATTTGATAAAATCAACAAATTTATTTTTCCATCTCTTTGTCGGACATATTAAAATCATGTGATTTATACACTTTGTACAATATCATCAGTAATCGAAAATAGGACATAAATCCAAGTCTCTGACGAACACAGCTTAGCATTTCATAACAAAATGCAAGAAACCTGAATCATAACATTATCTAATAGATGCCATTCTATAATGTAAATAACATTATACAGACCCGTCTTTCAGAATGCTTGTAACTTTAATATCTCCCATACATTGTATAGAAGCACCTTGACTATGTTTCACCAAGACCTGACCTAGGTACTCGGTATCAATTATGACACCTTAAATTTGACAAGTCTTTCAAAGTTTTACATATGCTTGTCTGCTACTTTTCTCACAAATTACAAGTCCTATTCACATTTATGTAATACTTATCAGACTTTCTTCACAAAATAACATTAAAACACTTTGTATGGTAAGAATGTCATGAAGTTTGCACTTCAGGAATACTAGATATTGGCACCACAACACCTGTAAAAAGAGAAAATTTATCAGAAAAGGGGTTATAATTAAATTTGTAATAAAAGATCTATTGTACAAAAAATTCAGATGTTACCTATCTTCCAAAGGTACTCGTATTTAGCATGATACCAAGATCTATGGGGTTGTTTCCTGGTACATTTGTATGGCCTTAATTCCCTAAATGGGCCGAGTCTTATATATGCTGACTGCGTTATTATCTGATGGGTATTTTAAACAATGCTCTGGGGCCACTCATTGTACAATTTCACTATGCCACTTTTGATTAACAGATTTTTAAAGGAAAAGCTGTGTATTTGCATATAGATGTAAAGGTATAAATACTGTATATACACAAAATTGAAACAACCAAGGACGAGGAATATGTGTCATCAGTATCTATGATTCAGGATTGTTAAATATGAAAGCAGTATAAAATGCTCTATTTTATACCAATTGCAAAACAGGCTACTGGTATATTAATTAATTAATCATTCTTGTTGGCCAAGATGAAAGTGTGCAAGCTACTGGCCTTACCATTTGAGGAAAATGGAGTATAACCATGTACCTTTTCATGTCTAATCTGGGAATCAAACCTCTAACCCCCACCCCCTAAGTTAAAGGTGAGTACCTTTTTATTAATGACCTACCTATACATCTAATATTGATCTCTAACATACTCCATGATGAACCTTTTTCACAAATGGCAGTTTTCTAACTATTGAAATATCACTGAACACAAGACCATTGGAGAAGAGAGTTTCAAAATGAAAAACCAACCTGCAGTCAATACATATCTATTATTAAAGTCTTCGTTAGGACTGACACACATTTTCCTGCAGAGGTTCACTCGTCAGTTCTAGCTCCATATCTGGAAAAAGGAGTGTGACTGTTAATATGTAATGTATAACAATGTATACTTGTGAATACAAACATGATACTGTATTATCAGAGAGCTTGATGGGCCTGTATTTACTTGTCACATATGTGAACTTGATTGTAAATTGAAACAATTGTAAATTGAAACAATTTTTTAATGTAAATTGAAACAATTTTAAACAATCTGGCCATATTTGATAAAAATCGTATGATTACCATCTAAGATGAAGAACTTTAATATTTTCAGCAATTATTGGTTAGAATACTCCAACAATGTTAGAGGTATACAAAGTAACGCATAAAATTTAACTGATTATTTGCTTTGAAGTGATCAGCAGGAAATCAAAGAAAGGATAGGAGGATTCCTGCGGTCAATGAAATATTTACCGTAACTGGAATAGCTCTTAGCAACTTACCAAGAAGGTGACGCATATCAAGCAATAACATTCAGTGCTTTCCCAGACAAACAGCATTCTGCATTATGTTAAATAATGGCTCGCAATGATCAAATGAATAAAGACTTCTATATACATGTACCTAGGTTGTCACAAAATTATATAATATTTTCAATTACCTCTTGCGTGCTCTTCTGTCTCCACATATTTCAACTGTTTCGCTCTTTCTGTAGATATATAAAAGTTTAATTGTTCAATGTCTAATTAAGTTAACATTTGTGGGAGATGTTGATGAGTATAAAGATTTCAGAAATTGTTAACATCCTATACATCAGAGCTATTGGCTTTTTCAATTAACTCTTTGTCTTGTTCTGCAATCTTTTCTTCAGTTCTTTCTTTAGTGCTGTGATTCTACGCTAGATACTTTCTGGTGATAACTGCTATAGGACTGGTGTGATAATTGCTATAGGGCTGGTGTGATGAGCACTTTAGGGCAGGTATGATGAGTGTTATAGGGCTGGTGTGATGAGTGCTATAGGGCAGGTATGATGAGTGCTATAGGGCTGGTGTGATGAGCACTATAGGGCTGGTGTGGTGAGTGCTATAGGGCTGGTGGGATGCGTGCTATAGGGCTGGTGTGATGAGTGCTATAGGGCTGGTGGGATGAGTGCCATAGGGCTGGTGTGATGAGTGAGCACTATAAGACTGGTGTGATGAGCACTGTAGGTATAAAATTAACTGTTATTCTCCATATTTCTAAACATTTTCTTTGGGTTGACAATGTCAACAGAATATAGATTCTTATCTCACAATCAGTAGAGGATAAGCTTCTGACAATCTTGCTATCCTAAAGAATGAGAACAGAGTACAAAACCATCAAATTCAAGCATTCTTATCATGTTTTCAAGGAATTTTTGTTTAAGACCTCAGACTTTTATGAGTTTCATGTCATTTCTAGGTCGTTCAAAAGATGTCTGAAAGGCCTGTACCAAATATGTACCGTATGATAGACACACTAGAATATTTAGAACATCTTTCAGAGGAGTATTACATTTAAAAAAAATGTTTGTTGTGAATTTTGCTAAACGTTAAGGTTACCAGTTTAACTTTTATCTTTTGTAAAACATTACCAATAATTATAACAGTAGATGTTTTTCTGAAGCAAAATATTCACCAAGGTTTTATGTAGCTGGTGATGAGTTTTTGTATTACACAAGGTTGAAGGTTACTATTTGTTTGCTTGCTTGCTGAGATTCAGTCATGTCATTTTGAGGCTTAGTCCCTTTGAAGAAGCTGATGGCTACCTCACTTAACAACACACTGGAGACACATTACATGCCATCCAGAGCTAATTGGGTAAATGACACAACCATGTAAGTACAGACTAATACATTTCTTGGCTTCTTAAGAAACACAAACTGCCACGAGAAGAGAGTGTTGAACAATCTTTTGGACCTTAATCTAAGGTAAAGCAGGCCAATGCTCTATTTGTCTCAGCTATTGTGACCCCACCCCTTGCAGGTAACCGGTAAGTACAGTATTGTGTAACACATTATTTTACCTGCCTACTGGTAAAACGTTACCACAGAAAGGTCTCTAACAACACTGCATACAAACCTATGATGTAATTGTCCCACCATCTACAACATCAACAGATCTCTTACCTTTACACTCAGATTTGGACTGTTTTTTATTGATCTCTTCTGGTTGACCGGGAGACGGAGGAAATATCAAGTTGTTATTGATACTAGAACAAACAAATATGTAATATCACATTAAATGACAACACTAACATATATATACATGTAATTCAAGTTCATTTCAAACAAAAGATCCCACAGTATGCTTTGCTGAAAGAAAGTTTGATATTCATTTCAAACAAAAGATCCCACAGTATGCTTTGCTGAAAGAAAGTTTGATATTCATTTCAAACAAAAGATCCCATAGTATGCTTTGCTGAAAGAAAGTTTGATGAAATTTTTCATTTAAATTAATTTTTGTTTTTTTTTTTTGTCTTTGTTTTTTTTTGGCTGTACACCATGTACATGTGGGAACTGGACTATTAACATATTATATCCCTGTTTCAAACTGTCCTAGAAAACATGTCATAAAAAATAGTGAGAGATGTCTAATTTCTGGCAGCCTTTCTTCTGATGAAGTGACTTAAAACTTAAAAAAATTGATATACACCAGGGGAGAGGACCAACTATTGACATGAATAAATTAGAATATCATAACAACAATTAGTTATAAGTAATTCACATTTACATTTCATATCATACATTGGCTTTGCATACATAACAAATAACTTCAAAAGTTATGGGGTATGTATCATGCTAAGACATAAAGAAAAAAACACCAGAACAGCACAAATAGCACAATTTCTCTCATGAATGTTTTGATAGATAATGGACAGGGTGGATAAAAATTAATTTAACTGTACATGTACTGAAGAAATAAAAACAATTTGGAAAAATTTGACCATCAACGATGTTGAATAAGTATTGACCAGAGAACATGTCTGACTCACCTCTGTTTATAACGCATGAGGGTGACTACAACAATAGTTAACACCACTGTGACGGTGATCATATCCCATAGTATAGTATAAGGTGTCACAATAGTCTCTAGGTCTTCTTGGTTCATCTTTATTCCACGACGAATATCAAAATATTCTTCTTCACTTATGTTGTTAGTTCCAACACTATAATGAAAATATTGTTTTCAGTAAACAATGAAGTTCATATATCTTTCATCCAGGGAGGATCGTTTCAATTCATTTAACTCTATAAACAATAATTCACTTTTATGATAATCAGTAAGTAAATGCACCAAAATTTGCTAGCACCAAGACATGTATGTAGGTTTAGTATTTAGTGATTCAAATCTGTATCCAGTATCATCCTAGCTTACTGACATGGCTTACACAATCACAGTCATGGTAAGTAGAAGTGTCATTTATTTGATAATTTTTTTTCTTTTTCTTTCATGCAGTGCCTGCCCTTCTCCCCCATCCTCCAACCCCAAACCCGCCATCACGACCCCCTCTCCCTCACCAATTTTTTTTACAATTTCTCAAATGTCAAAAAAGTCCGATTTCCTACATACAATGGGTTACTGAAATGAATGCAGCAGCAGTAAATTGGAAAATAGAATTATTCTCATTGTTTAAGTTGTTTTTTTGTTTAGCAAGATAGCTAGGTAAAATTTATGGTCAGTCTTTCAGCAGGTGTGGTATAGCTATTCTAACCACAGATTTTGTAATTTTTACATAGGTGACCTGAACAATTTTATGTATTTTTACAATCACCCTAAAAATAGATCAAGGTTATTTATTTGAACAAAATGTAATAGTCCCTCAGGTTATCACCATTAATCAAAAATTTGTCTCAACATATTTTCTTCCTTTGTCTCAACATATTTTCTTCCTTTAGTTTACCCTATTAACCTTAATACATGCTAACAGCTAAATATCAGAATTCTGGATCATATAGTTTTGTAATAATAAACATACTGTTTAGAGAAAACATGATGGACTGCAAATACTGAACCATGACATTTATCACTTGATATTTAGTGAGCTGTAAAGTATTATGATGAAAACAGCACCTACTACATACCCACTATGTGCCCTTCTGTAATGTTGTCTTTCTGCTGGGCTACGTCCTTGATATTGAGCTCCTGGAATTGGGCTTGAGTAATGACTGTTGTCATAGGACTTTCTAGATTCTGAGTTGCCAAGGACTTGGTAAGCCTCAGCCACCTTGGTGAACTTTCCCTGTGCATTATGTTGGGTACTGACATCTGGGTGGTACTGATTGTTTAAACATACACAATTTCAGAAAATTTGGTTTTAAAGAGTCATATACAAGTTAATCTTCAGCATAAAGATATGTGATATTTAGAATTGTTTCATATCATTTATCTTTACTTGAAATAATACCAGCTAGTCTTGTAATAAAAACAAATCAGCATCAATTATTGTTCTTGGAAAGCATTCAAGTCTGAATTCATAGATCACTGTGAGTATAATTAACAAGAGAGTTTTTTTCTATTTATAACAATTAGCAGTAAATCAATATTAAAGTATTTTGATAAAAAAAAACTTGCCTTTTTAGATAGATGTATATAGGCACTCTTAATTTCCTTCTGAGAAGCAGTCTTTTTTACTTCCAGCACATCGTAATAATCAGATCTGTAGCATCTGGAAATGTATATCAATATAAATTGATTCAGATTCATGACAAAATAAAAACAAATAAATTGAACAATGTCTCAATACTATAAAATGAATATGAACCAAATCTGTTCAGGAGTTCATGACATATCTTGCACACTAAGCTATCCTGGATGCATGTATATTCAGACAAAGTAATTAGTATATTCCTTCTTATAAATGTAGGAGCATAACTATTAAAAAGATTAAAACATGTTCAGACATTTATACCGTAAATGAATTTGATTTATACATCTCATCAAGTAAGAAATTCATGTGTGACCTTTCAGAAATAACACACTATCACCTACATCAGACATTAAATCATACATTTCCAGCTGCGAAACAATGTTTCGCACAAAAATCTATTCTATTCATATATCATTTAACCAACCAGAGAAAAAAGCTTAATTCACATAATCCTCTTCAATCAAATGAGGTTATGAGTCCTTTGTCTAGATATATACTTGAGTATAGAGCATTATTACTGTAATTAACCTGGATGACCAGGGATATCAAACATACATCAACATATAATGAATACAGCCATTAAATGAGGTTGATACCTGATAAGTTTTATGGACTTCAGAATAAATATTAACAGAAGATCGAGTCTATTATAAAAGACCAATAAAGTCATGTATATACCAAACACTATATCTTTTTATTACAATGAGATACAGGTATTTTCTTGGTATTTTCTTTCGAATTCATAGAATTAAACAACTAAGAAAGAATTATTTCAGCATGGCAAAATAAGCATGTTATACATTATGTAAGTCAGTGTCTTCAAAATATTTTATATCATATACATGTACCTTACTGCTGTTAGAAATCCACGATGTTGCCATTGCTTGCAACTTCTCACCAGGAGAGCTGCAGCCCCATTATATATCCTCATGGCCCAAGCATCTTGCAATACTACATGTATAAACAGATAAAATGAAATTAAAGAATCAAATTATTTCTTAGCCATTTTTTTCAAAAGATAAGGCCTCTCAATTGACAATATATACAATTTTCTTTTGTAAATATCCCTGTGGCAATTTATTTCAATTTCGTTTCTTTTCTTGCGTGTAATAGCTGGCCTTGACCTGTATGCAGTGATTAACGTGCAAGATATGTGATCTTAAAAATAATGGAATGACCAAGGTAGACAGTGTAACTAAAACATCTGTTTCATCAGTCTTCACATGTGCAACAGTCATCTACAGATGTGCTTAAGCTACAAGATTTTGGTCCAAGCAACATCCAAGACTAAGAAGTTCTGATTGTAAGAGTGCAACTCTTCTGGCACCAAAGCAAAACCCTTATACCTGTAACATGTATGAACAATTTGCACTCATAATTATGTTGACACCAGGCTCCTCCTTTCCTTTGTCACAAAAGAAGCGAGTAGAGCGTCCCACGTTATACAGATATGTCATATAGCTTCTTATTATTTAACAAATTGGTGTAAAAGTAGCATAGAACTTTTTGAGTTATCCGCGTGTTAAAAATGAATAGTAAACAAATAGATAATAACTTGAAGATGACAATACCGTTCAAACATTCCGCCCTTCTTAGACAAGACCTGTCTCATTTTACACATGCCCACTGGTAATACAAGTACGTTGATTACATAATGCTAAAACACTGATAGATTGAAACAGTCAGTCAGTGAGATACGGAGTTAGTTACTCAACAGCAGTATCTCACAGTCAGAGGAGATTGGTGTTGAATGCGATAACTCAATATTTTGTCAAGTAAAATCAAAGCCTACTCTACCCGACATATGAATGTTGAAAGAACTTACATGTAGGTAACTTAACTCTGTTAGCCTAAGTCTGTCTGCCGTGTCCAGTGCACAGTGTCACCTTGTTTACATCGAAGTCAAAGACACGCTTGAAATGATAGATGATTGTGAGCGTCAAACATCTTTGTGACTTTGAAAATGGTTATACAACAGAAATATTTTAAGGTATCGTTTGCCTTTAGGTTTAGTTCGTGTAAGCACAGATATAGAAGACATGGTGAAATTAACTAGTTATTTATATCAGAGTAACACGTTACGACATTACATTTTTACAGATAATCGATATTGATGCATCACTCGCAATTTTTGAAAAAGCATTGCCGAAATGTGAGGAAAATACGATAAAAACTATATTCCAATATAATGAGCATTCTTCCTTAATTTATTGCTCGCTGTTTGTAGTCACTGCAATGTTTGTTTGGGACCAGGAAAATAGTAAGGCATTTTTATGACACTAATGGACAACTTGCAGATAACCTCCACATACAGCTGACTCGAATTTGTTTTGAAAACAAATGGTATATTCAAATTTTGCTTTTGATTTGTTTGCAATATATATGTTAGCATAGTCGTGTAGAACATGGGTAACATAAAAGTTATTTATACGCCACTGCTATACAAAGCACTGGACAGCAAACATGGTTTTCACCTGTCCAGTTAGCCCGATGTGTTCTGTCTAGCCGCGATTTTATTTTGAATTTGGCCGCGGACAGAACCCCCCCCCCCCCCTACATTGAAAAAAACAAACCCTAGAGAACCCTGCTAGGTTGATAAAGAAAATGATATGTAATATTTTTGACTTAAGAATTTCTCATGACAAATTCATTTTAAAATGTAACGTTTATACCGATATTCTGCAAAATAAAAGAATAATCTCGGACATGTTCACAAACTTAGGATATCTGGGAGCATGAACTTAAGCCACTCTTTTCTAACATGGCCCGGTAACATTATTTAAAAAAACTAAGGTTATATTGCATTTTGTGCAAACTCTCAATAGCTAAGCTCTAAGTAAATGGTGGGGAGAACGGTCTGATTTGAGTGATGATGACTGGTTAAACTTCAAAGCAATGCCTTTAGAAATCACTAAAAATCATAGTCATCCACCATATTTCAAACTCATTTCTTTTAAATGAAAGCTAATGGGAAATCATCTCTGCAACCTTTGTTACTCTTAACAGGATATTTTTGTACATTTATTTTGGAAATGTAGTCAATTCCAAAATCTAATTCACAGTCTAGATATGTTGTTGAAGACTTCAGTCATAAATTTTTCATTCGATAAATATCCTTTTTGGTAAGATCAGAGATATATTTAATACATATATAATAGATATATACGTCTCTGGTAAGATCAGTAACAACAACACTTCAATATAAAAAAATGACTTGCTTTAATGGGCTTTCAGTCCATAGGGTCAGTCTTTCAGCAGATGAGATAAAGTTGACAACCATGTTATTTTACATATAAAACAGTGTCTGTACACACCTTACTAGATATTAAATACATAATCTAGATGTACATACTTGTAATTTTCAGTACATCAGTCTCCAATATCTGATCGGTCAACATATTCAAGCAGCATAATTTTTCTAATACCATAGCTATACTACCAGTCCACGTAAGCATGAGGGGTCTTACTGTGTGGCAAAACCAGAGAAAATCATATCATTTCAAGGAATCAAACAATTGAAAATCATAAATGAAAACATGAGTACTTCATGCGTTGATCATTCAAATGTCCTGCATATGCGTTGTTTTTGCAATACAGGCTATCATGGGTAACTTATTACCTATATGCAAGGTGCTTACATGTTTGAGGGTTTGTAGATAACCAGTTCATAAGATTTGAAACTTCCTCAGAAAGTAGAAGCTTTCTTTGTAAGACTTATTTGTATTTTATGACTTGTCATATTGAGTACGAAAAAAAAAACAAAACAAAACAAGACAAGTCCATAAAGAACAAAATTGACCTCTTTAGTATTTGTGTCATTTCCTATGCTAGTTTGATACAACAATATATTGTATGTATGTTACAGAGATCTATTGGTAGTGCTAGTGTTCTGTATAGGCTATACTGGTAAATATATGTTTGTCACAGGATTGCCTTGTAGTTCAGTGAATTTACCCAATGTAATATTTTTGCATATTACATGTTATATAGCCTATTGTGATATCTCACTTTCACAGATAACAATGCGACATAAAAATGGAAGCCATACATAGTTACAGAGCTGAAACTGTTTCAGATTTTATGTGGAAATATCCTGTAATATTTGCCTGAATAATTAATCATGTGATAAAAACAGTTTTAGATAATTAATTTGTTTCCATTTCATATGTGATTTATCAACTTTATCACAAATTTTTATTTTAAATAGCTCTTTAGGTATTCATCAGTCACATATCAAATGGAAATTGATGTCCAATTCTATTTATTGACCCCAGTAGTTTTTTTCTGATTGAAGATAGAGAGGTAGAAATTTTCAAAATTTTTCTGAATATTTTGCAGGGTCCATCAAGAATAAGGCATACTAATTAACTACTGTGTGTGAGACATGAAATCACTCACACCTATTATTGGTCTGACAAGACCAAGATGGAATGTACACACTGCAGCAGCCACATTGATTCTCACAAGGTAATAGTTTACAATGTTTACCAGGTAATTGTTTACAATTTAACTATATAACATGGTTTTTATGTAAAACTGTATAATCAGTTTTTTTTATTTCATCTATACAACAAGGTACCAGTATTTGTTTTCAATTTTATCTATATTATGTTGTTAATGTGGATAATTGAGGAAACCTTCTCAGACTTCAGTTCTAGACTCTTGAGTATAGTTTGAAGTGTTCTGACTATAGGTATCTGCCATTGATTACCAGAGGTATTTATCTTTGTTTTGGTTACTAGCAATCACATCGAAGAGTGGATAGATAGTCAGAACCCTTCAGACAACCCTTTAGACAACCTCTTTGTGTATATGTTACCTATACAAATAAGTTCAACAAACAAAGGGCAAGAAAATGCAAAGTCTTGCATTGTTTACAAGCTGCGTGATTTGTATATTTTGAATAATTAAGAGAATAACTTATTCACATAAATTTTTCCATGAATATATATTTGTAAGTTTGAAACTGTTATCAAGACATTGTGTATGTTGATTTCGTGACAACATGTATTAAAACAAAAGTACATGTGTTTATTTAGTATTACTACTTGTTTTACTTCCAGGTCCATTTCTACCCATTATGATACTCTAGGAGTTAAAAAGAATGCCTCCAATGAAGAAATAAAAAATGCTTTTGTGGAATTATCGAAAAAGGTATGATATATTTTTTTTTCATACTACTTTAACAAATAGTAGAGATTAGGTGATTAGTACCAAAGTTTTTCTTTCATGTATCTTAGGAGTTTCAATTGAAACAAATTGAAGGGAAGGTATGTGTCCTTTTTCAGTTTGAGTTATCTTTCTTTATCTAGTACCATCCTGATGTGAGCACTCACAAAGACACGTCACAAAAATTTGCAGAAGTTGCTGAAGCTTATGCTGTCCTAGGCAATGAAAAGTCCAAGAGCTTGTATGATGCAGTGTTTAACCATCCATTATCCCCTGACCACTCAGGAGTCGGCAGTACCGGGGGAAAACGTGTTATGTATAGATCCAATGATCCAAATGATAACACCTTTCATGATCTGAAGTATGTATTATCATTTTTTTTATTACTCATAAAAAAGTTAGAGTGATGATAGGTCAGTTGGTAAAGAATTTGACGATGACAACCTCAGGTGAATATCTGAGGATTATGGTTTGATTCTTACCCAGGGCAGTTGGGGTTTCTCAGGAAGATGAGATCACATACTGTCCTGTGCTGTTATGGTTTTGCTGTTGTGCAAGACACTTTAATTACTGAACTCAGACTTGTCTGGAAAACATGCAACATGCCTCCAGCATGATGATCAGTGAGGTAGCCAACAGCTACAAGAAGGTGGCCCACCTCAAAATGACCCTTCTTATTCACGGGGCAGTAAATCCAGCAAACAAAGTAGATACAATTCTTGTGCTAGTTTATGTACTTCAGTATATAGTAGGCACAATGTACTTTTGTGCATAGTTGATACCATGTAAACTTGTTGTGACTTGTGATTTTCTAAGAAGACAAAATATATGCACTTGTAATGAACAAATTTACTTTGTCCATATTTTTATTACTGGTATTGAGTAGATTAAATACCATGTTTGTCAAGTGTTGGGTCACTTTTTGATTGGAATGAAACATTGATGATAAATGAAACTTTGCTAACTGCAACTCTTGAAATATTGCAAAATTCAAATGAATTTGATGAATGTGATTTATTAGAAGATATTATGTAAATTATTTGTGTAACAGAATACTATAATTACTGTACAACAGACAGCGACAGTATCAGAAGGTGAACTTCGATAAAGTGGAGTTTTCAGCTAGGAGAAGAAGCAAAGATGATTATTTTGGTAACGGGAATGCCGCTGGGCTTATAACAGCATCATTTGGCCTTACTCTAGGAATTGCGACATTTATTATGGTGTAAGTACTTGCAATAGTAATGATAATGATATGTATAAGGTAAATTAACAGTTATAACATTCTCCCTCAGTAAGAGGTCTCCTTATTCTGTGAAGATTTCATTAATCATACCTTCACTCACTAATGGGGTTGGGGGAGAGGAGTATACAGTACCTACTCACTTTGTGCGTCCATCCAACCATGTGTGCAAAGATTGTGTTAAAGATCTCTCGTGAACCCCAGAACAGATTTAGTTCATGTATAAGTATACATAATTATACAGTTAAGCCTGATGGGGCCTCTTGTTGTATGAGAGTGTAAACAACATCATGTTTTTCCCCCTATATTCATGGTAATTAACTCAAGGGAGCTGAATTCAGTGAAACTCATATATGTCCTGCTTATTCTGTACAATTGAGGTTTTTGTATACAATTAGTTATAGTGTTAATGATATAAGCAATATCAGGTTTTAAATGTAACTATGATATCTCAGACTTTGTAGTCCCCATTTGTCTTCACCTTTCAGACAAATGTCGCCTGAAGAAAGGTGAGTTGTTATTCATATGGGATACACTCTATATGGTGGTCTCTGTATGGTGGTCTCTATATGCTAAATGACAAACAGGAATAGATTGTCGGTGGCCATTGCATTGCTCCCTATGGTGGTTTGTGTTTCTCAGGAAGCTGAAGGAAAGGGACTGGTCTATGCCAACTTGGTTTGACCTCAGAAAAGACACTTTACCTTAATTGCCCTGAAGGGCATGTGACAGGCCTCCCTTATGTTATTCAATGCAGTAGTCACCAGCTACTACAAGGTGCAGATCTAGACCAATCCAATATGACCCTGGCTGTGCGTAGGGCAATAAACTCACCAAACAAATTAATATCCATCCATTTACATGACTTGTCAACACCATTATACTTACCACTACCCATTTATACATTTAAAATGACTTTAAACAGTACCCAATTACATGTTTAAAAAAAAAAGAAACTTTTGTATTGCAATACATATATTATGAAATTATTGTGAAAATCAAATATAACCCATTTTTCAAAGCATAAGAAGCTTTGAATAAGTAGATGTAACCTAAGGGAATTAATTTTGATGACTCTACTATTTTATTTGTTGGGGCTGGGTGGATATACAGGAAGTTATGGTGTGCCTTCTGGTCTTCTTGTCATCTTGGCTAAGCATTAGATGACCAAAACAAGTTTTGACAAACAATATTCGGGTTTATTGTAGTAATTTTAATGCCCATGTAGTAAGGTACAAAACATAAAATCACACCCCTTTGTCATGTGGCTGTCACTGTCTCTGCCAACAAGGAATTGCCAAGGACACATGTCTGGCAAATTACCAGCATCATCCTGTCTGGCACTCCTGGCATAGCCCCGGCCTTCTCTGTGCTGCGCCAATCACCCCTTGTTGTTATTCCTTAAAACTGGTCCTCAGTCATGCAGACAATTCTTTCTCAGCATAGCCAAAGTGGTCTAAATGTAATAATTGTACAATAGCTAATTACCTGATAAGGTTTGTTGTCCAAATCAGAGAGAAGCAAAAGAGCAAGAAAATAATGACAGCTGGTCTGATATAGAGTCAAGTACCCAGAATAAGAGGGAGTAGGGGAATTCATGGTGTCTTTACAGACAGTTTCTAGTTTTCTTCACCAAATAACTTCTTTTTTTTTGCATTATAAAGTATGATTTCAAAACCCAGTGTGTAATAAACATATGCATTAGTGTTCTGATGAAAACTAAAAGGATGCATTGGTTTAAAAGTGTGTGTGTTTTTTTAAGGGTTCGAAAGAGTCAATCAGAAAGTCCACATATAAGGGAGAAACGGGCGCTAGAAATGCATCGATTGGTAACAGGGTAAGTATAGCATCTTTAGATATATGTTATACATATATTGAAATCCTTTTATTGTTCTAAGTTACAATGCTGACCTATGAAAGTCTTGTCTGGAATGTGATTTAAAAGAAGATTTTTATTGCCTTATGAGCATTTGAATATACATGTAAATATGCTGGCAGCTGCCTTTAGTAGAATAGCTGATTGTTTTCAAATATAAATGTTATTATTATTATTATTATTATTATGACATTCTTAACGGCCCATCAACACATAAAAGGTCATCAGGACCATCAACTGGTAAATATGAATATAATAAAATGAAAGTACTTTTGTATAAAAAATCTTCTCTTTATTTTTCCAGGAGGAGTAATTACCAGATGGAAAAGGTAAGTTTTGATTGATTTTTGGGTACTCTAAATACAGATTTTTTTGTCCATGAAATGATAAGCAGATAAACATTGACATGATTTATCCATGAAATCAAGTGTCAGCAAAAATCTTTATTTTCAGAAAACCATGAAATTTGACACATGTGAAAAATATGATTTTACACAATTTTAGGAAGGAACTGTCAAGGGATGACTTGATTATTGATTCAAGAAGAAACTCTTAAATGCAATTTGCTAGTTTTAAAGTACCAAATAATTGGTGCTAATGTTAATCTTAAACCACCCTGAACAACATTTCTGGTTCATACCTTTGAAGCAAGTTAAGCACTGTTAAGTCTGTTACTGTTTGATCTTAATGATAAATGTTTGTTTATTCAAATACAGATGAATCTTGACAGACCAACAGAAAGACCATCAGAGAGACTACGGGAGTTGAAAATCTAATACGGGGACAATGTTTTATCTTCCAGCTGAGCTCAGAGGTAAGTTTGAATTTTTTTTCTAATATTTAGTGCGATCGTCTGTTGTCCTGTGTCGTCTGTCTTGCAATGTCCATCTTGTGTCATCTGTCATAAACAATTAACATTTTCAACTTCTCAATAAACAAAAGGCCTATGATGTAGCGTGTAGCATGATTGGATGAAGGGCTGTTGAAGTTTGTAAATAAGACTACCTGAACCAGCTTTCAAGTTCACAAAATATGTCAAAATCTTCAAATGACTTCTTTTCGATAAAACAAAAGGCTAAGGTTGCTGATATTGAGTCTGTAGCATTCTGGAATGAAGGGCTACCAAATCCTTAAATGAATTACCTTGACCAGCTTTCAGATATGTTAAAATCTTTAAATGACTTCTTCTCAATAACCAAAAGGTCGAGGGTGCTTATTTTAGGCCTGTAGCATGCTGGTATATAGAACTACCAAAATTTGTAAATATGAATGACATCAAATACACTAAAATCTTAAAACAACTTCTTTTCAATAACCAAAAGGCCCAGAGTGCTGATATTTGACCTGTAGCTTGAATGGATGAAGGACTACCAAATATGGTAATATGATTGACGTCAACCAACTTTCAAGGTCACTGGGGTCAAATGTAATGAAATGCTTAAGCAACTTCTTAATGCCAAGGGTCTTGTAGCATGCTTTTTTAACAAGTATTATTTTGGAAGTAATGGCATTTGTGTAGTAACATATATGAAGAATATGATTTCAAGTTTGCAGAAATGTTTTTATTAACCAGCAATGTCTTCTGTGTAAGCTGTAGTGTAGTTGAACAATTTATTTTAGGCCTGTTTAGCTTCTTTCATATGTAGGCCTTTATAGTCAAATAACTGTTAAGGCTTGTGGGCCTCTTGTAGTCACATGCATCACAACTCGAATATTTTGTTATACTCACATGTGTCACAACTTAGGTATCTCCCTGTAGACACAGATGTCACAACTCGGATATATACCTGTATTTGCATGTCTCACAACCTTGATATCTCTATAAAGTCACATGTTTCAGGGCTCATATATGTCCTTGTAGCCAGGTATCTCACCATTTAGATATCTCAGTTTTAAAATTTTACCTCACCAGAGCCTTAGGACAACACTATCCTTTAAGATTGGTTGGTTGAACCAGATTGGTACAAATATCTTGTGTTCTTTTAAGATAGGTGATGGTCAGATAGACCAGATTGGTATGTTTTCCAATAGGATAGATGTTGGTTGGACCAGATTGGTATGTTTTCCAATAGGATAGGTGTTGGTTGGACCAGATTGGTATGTTTTCCAATAGGATAGGTGTTGGTTGGACCAGATTGGTATGTTACCCTATAGGATAGGTGTTGGTTGGACCAGATTGGTATGTTACCCTATAGGATAGGTGTTGGTTGGACCAGATTGGTATGTTACCCTATAGGATAGGTGTTGGTTGGACCAGATTGGTATGTTACCCTATAGGATAGGTGTTGGTTGGACCAGATTGGTATGTTAAGCTATAGGATTGGTGTTGGTCGGACCAGATTGTTATGTTACCCTATAGGGTAGGTGTTGGTTGGACCAGATTGGTATGTTTCCCTATAGGATAAGTGTTCGTTGGACCAGATTGGTATGTTACTCTATAGGATAGGTGTTGGTCAGACCAGATTGTTATGTTACCCTATAGGATAGGTGTTGGTTGGACCAGATTGGTATGTTACCCTATAGGATAGGTGTTGGTTGGACCAGATTGGTATGTTTCCCAATAGGATAGGTGTTGGTTGGACCAGATTGGTATGTTTCCCAATAGGATAGGTGTTGGTTGGACCAGATTGGTATGTTACCCTATAGGATAGGTGTTGGTTGGACCAGATTGGTATGTTTCCCTATAGGATAGGTGTTGGTTGGACCAGACTTCTTGTATGTTTCCCTATAGGATAGGTGTTGGTCGGACCAGATTGGTATGTTTCCCAATAGGATAGGTGTTGGTTGGACCAGATTGGTATGTGTCCCAATAGGATAGGTGTTGGTCAGACCAGATTGTTATGTTACCCTATAGGATAGGTGTTGGTTGGACCAGATTGGTATGTTAAGCTATAGGATAGGTGTTGGTCGGACCAGATTGGTATGTTTCCCAATAGGATAGGTGTTGGTTGGACCAGATTGGTATGTTTCCCTATAGGATAGGTGTTGGTTGGACAAGATTTATACAGACACATTGTAACCATGTTACATAGGTGTTGTTCTGACCAAATTGGTAAAAATCATTGTTACCCTATAAAACAGGTGTTGGTAAGGCCAGATTTGTACAAATACATTGTTTTACTGACATGTTGCACTGAATATATAGCTGTGGTCTGATCCTAAAAGATTGTTCCTGTATAAGACAATATCATTCTATACCATCTAAGGCACAGTGTTGTACATCTGTAGACCAAGTTTTAACATATAAGACATATTGTTTTTTCCTGTATAGAGGCTGGTTTACTGAAATGACATATTACACTACCTGTATAGATGTAGTTTTATCCTATAAAACATACTTTTTTGCTTCAAGGCATATTGTTGTATTTGATTAAAAGTAATATTTCTAGCTTAAGACATACTGTGTACCTGACATTGTGTATTTGACATACTGTGTACTTGACATACTGTGTAATTGACATACTATGTACTTGACTTACTATGTACCTGACATACTATGTACCTGACATATTGTGTACCTGACATACTATGTACCTGACCTATTGTGTACCTGACATACTATGTACCTGACATACTATGTACCTAACATTGTGTAATTGACATACTATGTACCTGACCTATTGTGTACCTATGTACCTGACATATTGTGTACCTGACATACTATGTATCTGACATACTATGTACCTGACATTGTGTACTTGACACACTATGTACCTGACATACTATGTACCTGACATATTGTGTACCTGACATATTGTGTACCTGACATACTATGTATCTGACATACTATGTACCTGACATTGTGTACTTGACACACTATGTACCTGACATACTATGTACCTGACATATTGTGTACCTGACATACTGTGTACCTGACATACTGTGTACCTGACATATTGTGTACCTGACATACTATGTATCTGACATACTATGTACCTGACATTGTGTACTTGACACACTATGTACCTGACATACTATGTACCTGACATATTGTGTACCAAACATACTGTGTACCTGACAATGTGTACCTGACATAATGTGTACCTGACATATTGTGTACCTAACATTGTGTACTTGACACACTGTGTACCTGAAATATTGTGTACCTGACATGCTGTGTACCTGACATATTGTGTACCTGACATATTGTTTACCTAACATTGTGTACTTGACACACTGTGTACCTGAAATATTGTGTACCTGACATACTGTGTACCTGACATATTGTGTACCTGACATATTGTGTACCTGACATACTGTGTACCTGACATTGTGTACCTGACATATTGTTTACCTAACATTGTGTACCTGACATATTGTGTACCTGGCATATTGTGTACCTGACATACTGTGTACCTGACATATTATGTACCTGACATATTGTGTACCTGGCATATTGTGTACCTGACATACTGTGTACCTGACATATTGTGTACCTGACATACTATGTACCTGACATACTTTGTACCTGACATAATGTGTACCTGACATATTGTTTACCTAACATTGTGTACTTGACACACTGTGTACCTGACATATTGTGTACCTGACATACTATGTACCTGAAATACTATGTACATGACATAATGTGTACATGACATAATGTGTACATGATATACTGTGTACCTGACATAATGTGTACCTGACATATTGTGTACCTGACATACTGTGTACCTGACATATTGTGTACCTGTATAGAAACAATTTTACCCTATAAGACACAATGTGTACATGACATAATGTGTACATGATATACTGTGTACCTGACATATTGTTTACCTGACATTGTGTACTTGACATACTGTGTACCTGACATATTGTGTACCTGACATACTCTGTACCTGACATACTGTGTACCTGACATATTGTGTACCTGACATATTGTGTACCTATATAGAAACAATTTTACCCTATAAGACATAATGTGTACATGACATAATGTGTACATGATATACTGTGTACCTGACATAATGTGTACCTGACATATTGTGTACCTGACATATTGTGTACCTGATATAAGGTATACCTGACATAATGTGTACCTGACATATTGTGTACCTGTATAGAAACAATTTTACCCTATAAGACATATTGTGTACCTGACATAATGTGTACCTGACATACTGTGTACCTGACATATTGTGTACCTGACATACTATGTACCTGACATACTGTGTCCCTGTATAGAAACCACTTTACCTTATAAGACAACAGAAAGAATTGTACCTGTTACATCACAACATTGTAGGCTTTCTTATCTCTTATCTCACCACATGTATTAAATGTATCTTTCATCAAACAAAACATCAAACACAAGAGACAGACATGGCTCAGTCCAATTTGCAGTCAGTTTGTCAAATCTTTAAAGCCTAGTTCTTATCAGCAGGACCATTAGAGAAACAGATTGTTAGGTATCTGATAGAAAGAAAGTTTGTGTTGTGGTTGGCACCTGTCTAACTTGTCCTTCTTGTACATTTGCTTCAACTCAGTCTGTATACCCTATGGGCTCAGTATATCATGTGCCACTCAGCATGTGACTGGTAATTGTTTATTGTTTTCTGCAGGTGCAACTCCCAGGGGAATATAACTCTATCACTTTCAACAGGTGCAAGGCTGACTGCTAGATACGGAGTCTGTCCCCAACCTCTCAACAGCTTGCCTGTTATTAACGCTGAATAGAGTTGGAAAAGGTGTTTGGTACTTGTGATTCAAAATGGAAAGCTCTTTTTAAATCATGACTAAGAGAGTAAATCTTAAGCATATTGTGCCTTAACTATAGGTTTTAATTAAATTTTAGCACAAGAATTTCGTGATTTTCACTATTATGTATGTAATTATTTTACATGTCTCCTCTGAAATTACTGAGTAATAAGTCATGTTAAAATGACTCAGTGATTGACTATATTATGATATTGCAGACCTAACCTCAAAGATATTAATGCATTTACCGATTTATCATTTCAAAAAGAAAAATGATGCAATTTCAGAGGTATGAAATAGCCATGTCAAATTTTCATGTGTAAGTAATGTCATGTATGTTGATACACATACAATCAAGGGTTCAGATTACCATTGAAAAACTGAAGATCTTGCATGGCAGTTGAAATGGATTCATTATTTGTCCAGTATTATATGTTTTTAATATACTACATTTCACAAGATGATTAAGAAGTCTGTGTGTAATTTCTTTGTTATTTTGTGACACCAAATTTCAGTCTTTCAGTAGGGTTTTAAGTGATTGTCTTGTGAGCATCTGAGAGAGAAATATGGTTGAGAAAGAGAATGTTTTTAGGTTGTGACAAAAAAAAAAAAATCCCATAAAGGGTAATTACTTTTACTGTGCATTTCATGTACAAGGTGGAAGATTGTTTGTACATAATAAAGTAAGATAAAAAATATACAGTGTACTCACTATTTGTTATTGTTTTTTATTTTGTATATTACCACTACTACGTAATTTTCAGTGTGACAACACTACCTGATAATATCGCCGTGTTACATCATAGATTAGGTTCTTCAGAGGAACAGACCTATTTTTGGTGTTAGTTACAAATTAACTTCCTTAATCAAGGCTTCAGTAATTCTTCAGAAAAATAGGAAAAGAGACACAGATGTATTTTTGAACTGTTTGGAGAGGAGTAATTGCCTTTTCTTCAGGAAAAAGATCTGTAGTAACATTTTGAAATCATGTATGTACATTGTAAAAAATAAAAATTCGATTATTATAGTTCTGTAATAGTTAGGAGTAATGAAATATACCCTGCCATCACTGGGGTTGGAACTAGCGACTCTTCAGACTAGATGGACACTCAACTGTTCAACTAAAGGGAAATTCCCACTAGCCAAGGCTTGGCCACCGACCGGTACTCTCAGCTTCTAAACTACTCTTTCACAAAGTCTTTGACCTAAAGGCAACGACAACTTAGGTACAATATCTCTTAGGAAGCATTTGACCCTTGGAGTGGTCAATGGCACCAAATCTGTAATAGGTAGAAGTAATAAAAATGAGCAGGGACACCCGGCGGGGTTCGAACTAGCAATCCCTCAATCTTTAGAAAGGTACTCTACCGTTCAACTAAAGGGAAACGACTGGTACTCTTAACTCCGACACTAATCCCTCCTTCACAAAGTTTTTGACCTCAAAGATATCAACAACACTGAAACGATATCTGGTCCATATCTGTAATAGGAAGGAATAGTGAAAAATACCCTGCCACTCTTGGGTTCAAAATAGCAACTTTAAGGTCTGTAGACAGACACTTTTCCGCTTAACGACAGGAAAATTACCTTTAGCTGAGGCTAGTAAAGTGACCTGTACGCACAAATTATTTTAAAGCCCCCAATTAAATCTTCTGTAAGTCTGTAAGTAAAACGGTTTAGTATTCAAGGTTTCGTTGGCATCCAAAGTGATAGCTGATCGCCATTGACTTAAATACAAAAATTCACCAAGGTGATGGACTTGCTTGCAAGGGAATGAGCTACAGTCAGTGTAAAAATATCGTTCCTGGCAACACTCTGACACAAACCAGTCTTTCCCCGCGGGGGACACTTAGAACTTCTCTGTTATTAAAAGTGAATCTACCGCAGTGCTAATTAATTTCATCAACAATTGTCTTAATATGAGGCCAGATTGATTACAAATAAACAATTAAACTAATTATATCGGTATTGATTCTCACACCTGCTTCACATCAGATGTCGACACCTGGACGGTCACGCGTAAGAGCCCAGTCAAGGTCTCTGAATGGACAGACCATATTTACCCCTCTTAAGAACAGGGCACGCGATCTGATGCAAGGCAATTTTACGTCTTCTCCTTAATTAGCATAGTGTTACAGGATTGTCAAACTGTCAACTACAACCCTTACTGATGTAGTAGTATTACCAAAAATGCCAACGTTCTAGAAAAGCGTGAGAAAAACTTTAAAAAAGAATGTGTTTGACATCTTAGACTAACATGAACGAACGTCTAGCTGTAAAATAAACGGTGCAACATTTCAGAACTAATATATTACTTGTCAGCTAATGTCTAGAACTTAATGTTTTTATTCTGTTTACGAGAATGTCTTCATTGTTGATACTAAGTAGTTATTCCAAACTCCTAACAGGAAGATGTACCATCCATCAAATAGGAAGTAAATATCCTTATTGGTTGTGGACTACGACAGAAATTAGTGACAAATAGCCGTCGATCATAGATCTTCACTTGAAACAGTTTTAATTGAGTGAGTTAAAGATATACATAAGGTTAATTTCAGCACCGCTCACGTGCACACGTTATTTCAAACACAATTTGATACTCTATATTTAATTGAAATTGACTTTTTTAATCTTAAGAGCCAACAAAAACACACCGAGGTATCATCCTTCCTATCATCAAGTAGTCTTTTAAAATCTTATCATATCTCTCTAGAACTGGCAAGATCAAATACAAATATTTCCAGCACAGAAATACTTTTTTAGAAAACTGCTTCTTTCACGACTGTAATACATATATATTGGTGATGGTTTTCTTCACACAATCAGTACTTTAGCTTCCGGGGTATTTAAGTTGAATGTTGCACTCATCTTAATTACTTCTATTCGTTACGTCAGTTTTGTATATTTAACCCCAATCTTAAATATTGACAACCAGCGTCGTAGTGACGTTCACTTTTGGATGATTTTATTTTCGTCTGTTCTGTAGTAACATACTCGAGAGGTGTTATGTCAGAGATGACCCATTATTCTTAAGGATATCAATATTATCATCTGTGTATTTTTAACAGCTTTACCGTTTTCGCGTGTCCCCTTCAATGTACACATTTTGCCTTTTTCGCCCTTGTCTTAATGGTTTTTAAGGTATCATTAGGATGTTTTGTACAATTTGGTATTCACCGACTGTTTTCCTTCAGATTGTCCTGGCTTTATAAGCTTATCTGGTCTATCGTCAGTCAGGCAGATTTCAAATCTGGCAAATCCTTTAACATCCTTTTACTTAGTAGAAATGACATGAAGTATTATGGGTCTGTTGTAGATTTTGAAATAGAATTATAACTTTATTTCAATAGTGCATGTATTTTACTACTTTTCTGCACAATTTTGTGCCCTAGTTGTGCCATCCAAATGAATCTTTGCCAAGGCTTTTGGCATGTCTATGTAAACAAACCATGGCCGCCTCTTGGCTTACTTGTTTTCGTTATCATACAAGGGCGAATTTATTGAAGAACTTTAAAAAAAAAAAGGTCACAGTAACTTTGTTAAGTCCTTCAACTTCATTTTTTGCGATTATTCTTGGCGTTTATTGAATTGTCTATCGCATGTATCCAATGTGTCTTCTTTTGCTGCCAAAAACAGCTTTCCCACCTATCTGTATGATAAGATTAGTGATTTCTAATTCCCTGTTGTAAATTTCCCGTTTCTAGGTAGTGGCATGCCTGCTTGTCAAACTTACAGTGTTTAGATGACGTAGTTGACTGGAAATTCACTTTTTATTTATTTTTTTCTCGTTTTTTATATCCTGTATAACAGTTTCTGTGAAAGATGCATGTCGATAGCTGACAGATAATCATTGGATTTCAAGAGATGCTGATTGATGAAAACTAAGGAGAAGTTTTAAGGTTGTCGGGGTGATTTCATTATCTGTTTTCATCATGGATATGAAGTTCGATGAGTTGAATGCCAGGTAATGTGCCAGTTGGTTTTGTTGTTATGAGCATTTTGAAAACGGCTTTTCACCTTTCTATTGACATATTTACATCGCAACTCTGGCGATGAAGCAGATGACGCTTACCCTTCCGGAACACCTGATGTTAATCCCCTTGTACATTTTCGATTTGATCCAGGTAAACTTTTTTTTGTTTATATTTGCCCTTGTGTCATCGATTTTAATTCCTAATGACATGTCGGTATTTCATGAAAAATTTTCGCCATGATACAGTTCATAGTATGCCAAGTAAAATTGCTGCTGCAATGACGTGTTTTCCTTAAAAAAGGAGGCCCGTAGGCCTTAACGGCCATATCACTATAAAGACTATAGAGGCCTAATGGGCCTGAATTTCTCACTGTTCTGCAGCTTACAAAGAACACATTGCCTGTTCATAAGTCATTTTTTACAAACATTAAATCATTCTTTTTATACATGGTACTACACACATACCATCACCCATCACCTATTGATTGTTAGCAGAAGAAATTTTAAGTTCTCAACTCATTTCACTCCAGAGATCTGGAAAGTTGGTCTATGTCAATCATTCAAATAAATTTGGTAGCCTTTCATACAATCAATATAAGTTATAGAACCGGTATCAATAGCCTGCACATTTTGGTTATTAAAGTTCTTTGAAGACTTTATCATATTTGAACCCCGTGGTATGGAATGTTGGTCGAGGACATTCATTCGAACAAATTTCGTAGCCTTTCATCCAAGCATGCTACAAGCATAATATCAGGACCATGTGCCTTGTAGTTATTGAGAAGTCGTTTAAAGATTTTAACATACTGGACCCATGCGACTTTGAAAGTAAGTGAAGGACATTCATTGGAACAAACTCCTATCCCTTTATCCCAGGATGCTACATGTCTAATATCAGTACCAGGGGTGTTTTGATTATACGTTTAACGTTTAAATGGAAAGTTTCCGCATGGCGGACGGCAAATGACGATGGACAAAACACCGATAGCAAAATGATTATAAGGTCATGAATAGTTACGTTCCGATTTAGTGGTATGTCTCTGTCTCTCTGTCTCAAAACTAAAAAAAACAAACAAAACATCCAGATAGGATTCAATAATTGTTTACTCTTTCATTTAATTGTCTTTTTCTATGAACACTACAGGTGAACTGAACAAGTTTGTATTTCACAAAGACATCACGACAATGCTACTTCATACAGAATAATAATGAATTTATATTGTGAAGTATGAAATTTGCAAAATGCACATTTTTAAAAATCAATATTTCAAAATCACTTATCATTGTCCCTTGTAACGATATATTTTACATACTTCTTGTATGTAATATGTCAAGCACACTAGAAGAAATGTACCGCCACGTTCATTTGGAAATTCGTGCATAACATAATGTATTTAAGGTTAAAAACATTAACCTTTGTTAAAAACTAATTACATTGGTTATTAAGTAAATTCTATGCATATAATGTTCATATTTATATATACATACATACATTTTTTTTATTTAAATGCTAAATACATATTAATAAATATGAATTGTATGTATGTATCTATAAAGTGCATTAAATACATGATTACTGTGTGTCTATGGATATGTAGAATGATTGTTACTTTACATATACCACACAGCATCACCACACAAGTATCTGAAATAGTCAACTGGCCATACTCTGACAGTGCATCTCATACTATCCTTACTATTGAGGTCTGTTAACCTAATTACTTATTGGATTACAATGTTTCAATTTACTACAAAAGAGTTAAAATTTAAGTATGTTTGTATGTGAATGCTGTGATTCATAATTGTAGAAAAAAATCACGCTTGAATTGCAATATTGGATAAAATGGAAACATTTTTTTTTATCATATTTAACCTAAACTTTAAACACACTCTGTGAGGCCCCGTTCTCCGTTACAGACGGAAATGTCCTCTTTATTTACTACTCTAAACTTGATTTGTTTTACAATAATTGGAAAACAAGTTATTCATATTATTATTAATCACTCGTGGCCCGAAGGCGCGAGGACGTTGGAAACAGATTAAAACAATGGCTGTTTGGAAACGTAAAACTGTCAACAACATCTATTTGTACATTTTTTTTAACAGAATTCAGGTAAACAAGCAAGTTTTGGATACATTACATTTAGAGAGAAATCCATCAATGTAAGCATTGTTATCGGTATACCATTGTATCAATCGATTTTTTTATACTAGATAAGTAAATATTTTACCAGTCCATCAAGCAACAGAGCCCATGGTTAGCATTGTTGCAGTGTCATTTTATATGAAGTTACACTGATTGTCTCTTGACATATATCTTATACATGCGTTTGTACAATGCAAAACGCAAAACACTGGCGTTGCTGTCGTTCGTTTGGCCTTTGACCTTATAAAATTAATGAAGTGCACATGTTTTCATGTCAACATTGCAAAACCCACCGAAGGGGATATCTTGTCCTATCATGTAACACTGCTATTTCATCGACGTTCGGAGTCGTGTCATCAATTGTGACATACATTCTCTTGTAGTTTATCTTACGTCAGTAATTTTTGCTCTGGGGTTCAGAATGAAAGCCAGATTACTTCCTGGATTTATTTATTTATATATCGAACCTGAGGGCTTTAAAATCTAATGTTATGGTATGTCAACTAAGTCTCAGATGTTTGAACAGTACGAGATCTCGTTCAGTGATTCAGCTAGTACTGAAATACGATCTTTATTGATGTGTTTTCATTTTAACGTCGTTGGAACCAGTCTTAAACTTCATCCCAAGCTTATTCCTACTGATATTGATTTTTAATTTGTGTTCCTGAAAATAATATTTTCACTAAAAATGAATTACTATTGTCATGTGTTCAAATATGACTGTTCATATAGATTACCCGATGACTATTTAACCACCACGAAAACAAGTCTTTTGAGTCCGTAAAATTTCCGAAATCCCTCTCTACCATTAACGGTAATTAAAACTTGTAAGAATATTATTCTCCTAACGAGGATTTCTCGGTCTTTATCAATCATCGAACGCATTTAAAATGCTTTTAAAGGCTCCACAATAGATGCTAGCTGGTCTCCACCGATGAAACGAATTCTCGACATTTCTGGATATTTTGATTACCAAAGGATATAATTTTATTTTCGTTTTTGAGAGTAAAACGTGGACGAGAAAAAGATAAATAGGAAGGTTATTAACGACGATTTTTTCTGTATGTGTATAGATACAGGTCATTTAATTGATATTCAGGATCGCGGTGTAATTTTGAAATATCATTTAAAGAAAAGAAAATATGGTTTAAGACAGCTGATAGTGAATTTGATTTCCGAACAGGAGCGAAATATTGATTGTGGTCGTAAATGTATTGAATGCAATGCTGAAGTGCTGAACCATTTTGGTTGTACATTACATGTCAGATACTAACTAAAATATGAATTCGACTTAAGTTTCTAAATTTACAAGAAGAAACACTTCTGACTTTAAGTCCTTCAGTAAGGGTTGTATTTGGGGTTTTAGCGATATTTGCTTTTTCCAGCATACAGGCTTGGCACTAACTATTAACATCGAAAGTCTGAAACTTTACATAAAGAATAAGACGTACTTATGAATAAATACTGACACTGACTGCTGTTGAAAATATGGTCACGGATACACTCTATCTTGTCATGTCAGCTAGGCTTTCTAAGTGCAATAATTCACAACAACAGAACTACTTGATAATTCATTATAAGAACTATACGGGACTCTTCAGAGATATATATATTTGTAAACGTATACACAAAATAAGCGTGCTTTTAAAAAGCTGAAGGGCGGAAGGATATGTGTCAATACACGCACACGTCATCAAAATGTCTTAATACGTAGTACAAAGTAGTCCTTATACCTACCTATGCGTACAACATTGCTCTGATGCATCAACGGTTGTTTACATACGAGGATATATATGCACCGTGCCACCACAAAGTTTGTGTTCCCCAAACTCTCAATTCTAGGGGTCAGTATCCAATCAGTTCTTCACGTTAACAAATGTCCGCACGTGTAAATAACACCCCTTCACATGTAAAAATAAGTCCGCACGTGTAACTGACACTCCTTCACGTGTAACAGTAAGTCCGACGTGTAACTGACACCCATTTACGCGTATCAATAAGTCCGCACGTGTCCCTGACACCCCTTCACGTGTAACAGTAAATCCGCACATGTAACTGACGCATCTAACGTGAAGCAATAACTTAGCATGTTTAGATGAAATGTTTTCACGTGTAACATAGTCTTTACATGAAGCTAACAAGTCTTCACCTATACAGCTATGAAGGTAACTAGTAAGTACACACACTTTCTTACACTAACAACACGTGCATCTTAAGTCACCACACCAATAAAACACGTGTTCAGGTCAAGTCAATATGTGATCACTTTTCACAGTTCATCACATCTTATTATCTTAAATGAAGGCAACGAACATGTCCTGTTCTCATGATGTCGATTTCTGCAGGCGTAGGTTTAATTTGTCCATAACGTAACCATTTAACAAAACTGCGCTCTGTACATTGTTCTGTGACAGTAATCGCTGTCAGTAAGAAGAACTTTACTTACCATATCCATATTGGAAGTTATGACACTGAAGTACAAACAGTGGTTTTTAACTCTTATACAAATTCTTTACTCTGGTAACTTTGTCTTTTCCCATACTTCAATTTCACAATGTTGGCACGGAACAAAATCTACGTCGTCAATATTGGCAAACGACTGACACGTGATATTATTTACATTGATATTATATACGTGATAATATTACACTGTTACCACGTGACAGCATTCCACTGTTACCACGTGACAGCATTACACTGTTACCACCTGACAGCATTTACAGTGATACCACGTGACAGCATTATACTGTTACCACGTGACAACATTTACACTGTTACCACGTGACATCATTTACACTGAGACCACATGACAGTATTTACACTGTTTACATTGATATGTTGTCACGTGGTCGTCACTGACACCAATGATTGATAATTTACACGTGACTATTACTTCCCTGTATCCAGTAGAATACGTTTCAGCAGAACGACAGCCAAACAGAGAGTCGCCCGATTTTAGATAACAAGCTTGGCCCTAGTTAACGGTCTGCTCCGTAAGCATTTTCTTGTCCTCTTATGTTAAGGAAGTTTACTACACATTGCCCATAAGGTCACAACACATATACAGTTGACACACTGAAGATTATACTCTTTGTTAACTTGGTTTTAAATAATGGCTGAATGGATTGGGACCTTTCCGGTTCGGATTCTGTGGCAGAAAACTAGTATTATCTGAAGCAGAAAGTAAAAATGCATATTCAAATTACTGAGCTCAATACATTTAACTTATAAAAAAACCCAAAACAAACTATAAAAGTATTCCAATACTGTATACGGCATGTTCTATGAATTCAGCATAGTGTATAATACTTACTTTTTAAACCCATACAGTCTATCCATTCATCATGAGTTATTTTTCTGTTATTGTCGGCATCACAATAGCGAATGAAGTTACGACTACACTTTCTAGTGTCCTTCCGTTTAGGGATTTCTTGTCGGAACTGCTTTAGTTCTTTACGTTCCAACATCTGGAATATAGCAAGTAAGAATTCACCGAATTATTTGTTTTGAAGAATTTAAGTCATTATGTAAAGACGATGTACATGGATGATAAGAAAACATGGTTATTTAAAATGTCAGAACATGGTTGCAATAGTATGATACACCTCTGCCACACTGACAACGTTGGTTAAGGTCTGTTCTAGAATTAGAAACGGAAGTAAAACCCGGATACAGCAACGGGACTCATGTTGTATGTCATTAGAGCAGACATAGTCGGTTTCTTTGTTCCTTTGTTGCCTCCTTGATTTTAAAGTCTATGTCATCACTGTATTGAAAGGTACTATTTACTTGTGTCTTTTGTATAAAATGCAAAGCTTAAGGAATAGCAACAGACAAACGTTGGCTACAACGTAAATGAAAGCAACCTCCTTAAATTGATCATACAATAGGTGGGTGTATGTAATAACGGATAGAAAGGACCTTCCTTGTGGAAGGTTGAGTGTCATCTGAAAACTTTTGAAAACTATCAACAAATAATAAGTGTTTCTTTAAATGGAACAGCAATTTCAGTATCAAAACAAAGCAGAATAGAAAAGATAGGACTTGTCTCCCTTTAACTGATAATTTCTATAAGCATGTATGATAATACATGGCTATTTTCCAAATCCTTTATTTCAAATTAAAGTTTGTATGCATTGAAATTGGTGTCCAACTATGCCTTTGTCAAACCTTTGCAAGATACATGGAGAGAATACTGTTGCCGTATCTCCCTGATTATCGCAAGAGACAACTAACGGTAGGACATCCGCTGTATGTCAATGTGGTTTTTCCGATGTATTTTCGGAGATAATATTATATGGAGACAACGGAGAACCCAACATGGTCTGATGTGTTCCACTGCATGACTGAAAGGGCGACTAAAAATGATTCCCAATGCAGAAATTGGGTTTTCATGTCTTCTATTTAGGGTCAATGATAAAGCCAAAATAGATCTGCGGTCACTTTGCAACACTTTGGATCTTGATTTTCTCCTGTCTTTCCTGTATACTGTTTCTATCTCTATTTTGTTTTCCAATCTTGACCGACCATGAAAAAATTATATGACAAGGTGCTTCTAAAACAAAATGTTTTCCTTTGAAAAGACAGGTGAATCTTGATTCTGTGGTCATGCTCTGGAAAAGGTGAAATTTCAATCTTGTCAATCAGATTTAAATCTATTTCCAAAGTAGTAGGGAAAAATGAGAACCCCATTGCAGAGAGACAGGATAATAAGTGGACAATACAACTAAAATATTTGTAATATGGCTTATTTTTCCATGGTAACCATGCTTGATAACTATACACAGTGCTCTGGTCCCGAAATTGCTCATGCACGCACACACGAATGGACCCCAATTGTTTAAATATCCCGCTGCAAAAACGTTTCACAGAGGTAAAGACAACTAAATGTATTGTGAAGTTATGAATACCATTCAACTCACATTGTTTGCGTTGACGTCTAAAAATTTAAATTTCCATTTGGCAGCTTTTTCTTGGACTGATAGCTCAGGGTTGTACTCTGGCCTTTTGCTGAAAAAGAACACAAAATATATGGCTATTTATATAAGATTTTTTATGCCGGTTGCCATTTTGTTTTTGTATGATTAAATCAATAAATCAAACATCTAAAAACTATCGATAAGCCAAAACAGCTGTATGATGCAGTTTCTTTCTTGTTTGGCTCATTCTAAATTTGAATTAAAATGTGGCTTTCACTATTGTGTCTTTGGTACAATCTTTCATCATATTTTGCTTTTGGGAAAAAATCAATGCCTACACCATTTGATGCAACAAAGATGGAAATGATTAAAGTATCAGGAATTTATTACGTGTCTCATGCTAAACAACATTATATTTAACAAAATATAAAATGTTGATCAAAATAGAAAAAAAAATCTGTAAATAATTGAAATATGAAATCAAAATTTACTACCAGATAACACTTAAATATGACGCTCACAACTTCTCAATCAGCTCTCGTGATACAAGAAAAGAATTATTTAGAATTATTGCATTATGTTTATTCTTCCGGAACACCTGGTCTTATTCTTGTAAATTTTCAGTAGTCTCCTAGTAGGTACTTCATTGGTCATATTTTGCCCTAGTTTAATTGAATTGAGTTTGGATTATGATTATGTTGTTTTTCCCCTTTTTTCATTGCTTTTGCTTCAATATTGTTGAGATATAATGATTTTACTTTTTGTCATTTTTAAGAATACACAATCCTCGAAAACTGTTTATGCAATTAAAAAGAACACGTCATAATGCAATGGCCAATAATTGATATCGATTTAGCATATAATGAAGAACTACTGTTTATTTCCCTTTATATAATATCAAACATCTTTTGTGATGTTTCCGGCGTAGTGTTCTCCACTTCCCTTGAAGTTAGGGTCATAAACTTTATAACTCGGCTGTTTTCTCTTGATGTTGTTTTGAAATGGAGTGAATGGTAGTTCCGTGGCCGTGATATTGTCGAATTGTGTACACGTGTTGAAAGATAAGAATAGTGTTTATCAAGGTAGTAGTACTGATACGACTCCCAGGATCACCGTGCAGGTGTCACTCCCTCCACCATTCTCCCAAATGTTGCAAAAGCACGCTCACTTGACCACTCAGGTGAGGCGGATAGAATGCGGGAGCACTTCAAGTGTAGTTATTACCTTATAAATGTGTCTTAAGGTGATATGTCGCTTGGTCTATTGGTACACTTTCAGCACCTTACATATATGTTAATCACCACAGGTTTTCTACTCTCATTATCCAGCTGAAAGATATCTAATCCGAAATATCTGTTTTACATAACATGCTCAACTTTTTTTTTCAAACAAAAACAACGAGATATATGTTTTACACAAACATATCACTGGCCATTTCCAATATTTGCAATAATTGACCAATGAGCAATCAAAAAAAATATAACTGTTGTGCAGTGAATGATTCTATGTCATCCTGCAGATCGAATAATATTGAACCTAAGATAACGAAGTTTGATACAATTTATCACAACGTCATCCATACAATAATGGACCAATGTTTCTCAGGTAAATGGCACGAATATTTGCAATCAGACAATATTTGATTTCTAAGTTAGTATACATATTTATTTAATACAGAGGTCCCGCATGGCATAACACCTGGTCCGGTGTTTCTTCTACCACACACCTGTTTCAGAGAGCCCTCAAATTCAATAGCTTTTATACATACAATGCCTCGAGTAAATCACAACATTCGCATACCGAGAATCAACTGACAATATCGTGTTACATTCAATCTTTATAACGTGACCATACAGCTGTGTAAACTCAGCATTCCTCCTTTTATCCAAACACCTGCGAAAACGACAGCCAGGACTAAACGCCTCGTACCAAGCATACACGCGAGGGGAAATCCACCGATCGACAGAAAGTGTAAACATTATATTTCTTACGTCTTCTTATATGACGAAATTTCTTTAAGACAAAAATCATTTAAAATGGATTTAATATAGCGCGATCGATCCATTCTGTTGAGGTGCCTGACTACTATAAAAACGTGCTCTACCGTACTCATTTGACGTAACGATGTGGTAGGTTAAATACCATTTAAAAATTGGATTCTGTGATAAATTGAAATCATTCATGCCATCCCGAACAATACAAAGTGCGACTTCGTGATAAAACGCTAGAAGTATGGGATTAGTGATAACCAGAGACCGGTATTAGTTATTGTATGTAATCATGTCCACCTTTTTCTTTCCACTGTGGATAGAATGTCAAATCCAGTTGGCATGATCATCTAGTGCACATTGTTACCAATTACTTCAACGATTGCATAGATTGAAGTCAGATCGTGTAGAAAGCTGAAACCTCACACAATGAAATATCTGGATCAAATGTGAAGTTTAATATTTGGTTTTCCCATTACAAAGTGGATATTTGATTCTAAATTTACTTGTATTACATGTTAGTTGTGATCTAGATATCTATAACAGATACAAAAAATGAAACGTATCGTTTTGAAATACCTTGTAATACGTTATCAAAAATGTCCAAAAAAATCTGTTCATAGGACACACAGACGTCAAAATACATTTAAATAAGTGTTATTGATAAAGATTTCTAGAAGCAGTTCTGAATCAAATAAGATAAATTCAATCAGTGATGCTAGAGGCACATTTAGTAAAAAACAGGAAAGTTTGGATTTTAAAAAAATCTGGGTTTTTTTCTTTTTTTTTTTTTTTTTTTTTGTAGGGTGACGTTTCAATGATCACACTGTACAAAAGTTACCTTGGATCTGTACCATTATATACATATATGTCCATTTCCTGTGCGAGTTGCTCTAACAAGAAGTTCAAAAACCTCCGTTTCTTCGGCAGTGGGCATCCTGTGAATATACGAACTGTGGTTTCTTAAATGAATTCCTAGAATAACTGATAAAGGACACAACATATATAATTCCATTTAGTCCATTAATGACGCAGACATAATAAGAACATTTTAGAAAAAAAACATAAATTAGAGGTCATGACATATGATCATTAGCGGACATAAAATGATAAATATGATATACACGGGTAGTTCTTATGCGTTTGACTTCCAGTGATATCAACAAATTTGTTCATTAATACAAACGCTTACATGGACTTGCCAAAGACATGTTAGTGAAAATGTCACAAAGTTTATATCTGTTATTAAAGTAACATAAGACAAAGCCAAGAAATTGTGTGTAAAAATAGAATTAGCTACCTTTCATTTCCCTCTCCGACTCCATATCACACGTTGGTTGTATTTTATGAGTGGATGTACCAGGAATCGGGGAACCAGTGTTTTCGTCAACACACCAGCAGAACTGGGAGGATTTGTGGCACTGAGCTCGATTCCATTTCCCTTCATCAGTACAAGCTGGGATAAATGTTCCTCCATCCGGGTCCTGTTCATGCTGACGCGCGGCTGCATCTTGCTCATCGACACAACTCCTCGTTTCTGAAACGTCAGATTATATTATAAACCAAAACATAATTAATGTGATTACATTGTTACATGTAATTCTATTAGTTATGATTTCTTCGTTATTGTCTTATCCATATATGCAAAAGTTACATTATTCAAATAAATTGTTGATGGAAAGCAAAATCTCTGAAATGATTTTTAAATAAAGCAAAGCAACACTCTCTGAGCTAATTTGAATGTGATTGATTTCAGAATGGTTGTCAAAAAGCTCTGTCAGAAAGCCCTTCACCTCTCTAACGGGTGTCACTGGCATGTTCACACGACGCAAGCAACATCAAGCAAGACTATTGTGGTACCCCAATGGGCCAAAACATCACCAGTATACTTGGGTTTGTACTCAAACATGTATTTGAAACGATCCAAAATAGATGTTTTGCTCCAATAGGTACAAAACGTGATTTCATTACAAAACAAATGTATTTGTCAGCAGCGGTACTTTTTGACGCCATTGCTTTATTAACTTCTTGATCAACTTTGTTAAACATTAAATTAATGTAATTTTTTTTACATTTGTCACAAAAAAAAGCATTTTATGTCATAACATAATTTTATTTTAAAAATCGATGATATCTCTTAAATTATGTACAAACTCATTGGTGATATCAAATCTAAATGAATTTGATGATGAAGCTCTGATCAAAAGCCATGGTGACGCCCACTATAATTTAATGGTCATTTCAGTTGAACCGCAGCTCATGTCATTTAAATTTTCCTTATATGATGAAATTTGAAAATAAAGCATTGGGCAGTTACGAAGATACAATATGTTTCAACCATATTTCTTCATTGCATGACTTACTCTGTGAATAAAAGCGATTATTATCATGAAGTTTTTCAACTTCATGACTTCGAATCACAAAATATTCTATATTAACTGAACTTTCCAATTTTGGATAAATTTCATCGAAGTAATAACAACAATAATGAACATCTTACTGTCTTCCTTGTCAATAGATGGCGCTGGGGTATTGGTACGGCGGGGATTGAGCCCTGAAGACCACCGGTTAGCTCGAGGAGGAAAGTCTACTATAATTTCAGGTTCTGTACAATACAAGAGGGAAAACGGACGGGATAAATAAGTACCCGTAGTGAGGCGTCTTGGATAATGATTGCCAGTATGAATGAAGACAGGTGAACACTTTTCTCGCTACATCTACTACTGAGCGGGTGTTAAACACACAGACACACGTGGATGAAAATGAATTATGTAACATGAATATGATTACTATTACCAGTCAGGTTGTATGTTGTAGTTGATAATTGACAGTGACCCGACTCACGCAACTTAATCAGATTTCCAGTACGTTTTTCATTCATTTCAAAAATTAATTCCGAATTGAAACTGTGCCTCTGAAGAAATAATATCAGTTTTTTCAAAAGTTGAAATTTATGTTTTCATTTAAACAAACACATAGGATGTTGAACTTGGTATATCATTACAAGTATATTAAATGCCAAGTCATCGTCCACGGTAAGAGATTTAGTAGCGTGAAACAAGATCAGTAAAAGAAACAAATAATCGAATATCTCTCTGTTACCTAAATATAATCTACAGTACATGGTCTTCTATTTCATTAGTTGAAACACATATTTCTTTCCTTTACACACTAATATCATTTAATATATCAAGTAACAAAACACCAATGATATTACTTTCTTTTCCTTAGGTACTTCAAGTAAGATTCCTTATCTATAACATTGAAAACTATATAATTATTCGAAAATTAAATAGTGTTTCTTCAATAGTGTGAATTCGGTATTTTGAATTCGATATACATGTACATTTCTAATTGATATTTTGAACATGGCTTTATTTTTAAATGTATCGTAATTTTAAAACTGGCTTCTTGTAAATTTGTAATTTCTCCTTTTTTGTGTGTGGAAGTATAATAAATCAAAAGGCTTTTGATATAGGGTTTTCTCCAGTTCATATTCTCAAATACTATTTATAACGATGTTACATCTGTTTCCTCCTTCAAGGACCCTTAAGTGGTGCTAGAATCCAAAATGAAATCCAACGGGAAAATAAGGGAAATCAAATAACATTAAGGCAAATCGAAATATGAAAGAGTGGTGCAATAACTCCATAATGACATCAGATTTATTTCTAAAGAACAAGAAGTAAATTCTGACACGGTGCCACTTTGCACGTGGAATGTAGAGATACAGCACACTTCGCTGACTGAAATCAACCAGCTGAGCTTACATACCACCCAGCAATCTGAAAGGATTGTACAAAGACACACAAGATAATTCAACTTTTGCCCATGAATTGGGCTATGACTACCGTGTATGTAGTATATAGCTACTTTAAAAAGTTGAAAAAAGGATATATTTTCTATTTAGCATAACACGTACAAGGACTAAACTCGTATTTGAAAAGAAAATTATAATCGGTTTTGTGAAGTGAAACACACTTCACAAATTTTCGCTAAATAAAAAAATTTTGTATATATTGCAAACTGCTTTTCAGACGTACAATATGGATTTGAAACATGGTGATGAAAGAATATTTAGATTCTAATCAACATGAATTTAAAAAGTATTATTGTAATAACGCGACAAAAGATTTTATCAATATGGCTGCTCATAATATCAAATGTTGAAACAAGCATGTTGAAGCAACATTATTATCTTTTCTCTTTTCTCAGTTTGCAATAGAGCATATGATATGGAATAAAACTCTGCCACGCTTCATGTGGTAGTACATCTAAAGTACATGGTATAGAATACTCTTCCATAATGTCGAGCCTGGTAACATATGTAGTATAGACTTATGTATGCTATTACAACAATGAGGCATTGCCTGTAGACTTTCGGTAGTATTAAGTAAAATACTGTCCCATGTAGTGTGAACGGTAAGATATGTGGTTTAGACTTAGCAATGTCATTGCACCACAGGACATTTTCTGTAGACATTTTATCTAGAGCAGAATGCTATACCTTATGAAATATAAAATTTTCTTAAACATGAGTATTTGATAAGATGCACGACAGATGGGTTGGAAAAGTATACCATGGACCGTTTGATTAGATATTATGCAGTATATGATGGTGTAATAAATGAAAAAATTCATATATATACCTTCGGTGATTTGAGGCTCTGGCTTCATCTGAGGAGACTGATCTTCTTCTGAGTTCAGAGATAGAAACACACGAAAAGAAACTATTATGAACTGGGTGTAAATACCCTGTTCCTATTGCTAGGATTGTATTGCACTTGACCCGGCCTGCGGCCTGTTAGTGTTAGTAACGTCCAGGTGGACAGAAGGAAGGACGATTCAGGTCAGATTCTCACACACAGTCACACTGCTGTCATGCTACCGTACTCTCGCGGACTCAATGTTGGCAATCACCTCTTCCTCACACAGATTCAACCCATTCAACTCATACAATAATTTCGTTCCCTGTCCATACATATTTCATTCACAGATTCATCACATTCAAAAATTTCATTCCCTGTCATTCTTTTTTCACACTCATAAACAGTTGCCACCCTTCTCGTCCCTCCAATAGAAGAAAAGATGAAAGCAGAAAGAAGTCCCATAAATTTGTCTAAATGTGTAATCAAAACAACGTTATTTTGCAAGTGTTTACTAGTTAATGCGAAATTCTCCACTTGTTTTGCATACCTTGCACGAAGAATGTTAACTTTCTTTCACAATGATATTTGGTAATCAATGAAATTATTGCAGCATGATAAAATGAACAAAATCACACGTTAAAAATGTCTTTTAAGGATATGTATGACATTTATCACACATTTAGACATTCTATTCATAATCTTTTTTTCCAAAATATTTTCATAAAATTTTATTTTTAAAGATTTAACATCAAATAACATGATATACATATGGTATAACATGTGTCATTATTTGTATTTCATAAGTCTGGGACTTAAGTGAAGAGAACTGCAAAAAGCGTTACAAGCCGGAGGAAGTGCAACCGCAAACCAAGCGATTCGGAACTCTAAATGTCGTGAAAATCGGAAATCTAATGACATTACAATCTAGCAGATGTAAAATGAAGGTAATTTCTACATAAAATGTTTTGGTTATGGATATAAACATCAAATGAATCCAATTTTGAATTTTGTAAGCTTTATTTGAAATTTATGTTTCCCGGTAAAATAAAATCATGGTTGTTTTCTTCATAATTTCCATCATTTGTAATTTTTAGTTATTTCACCTGCTAAATCGCGTTAAAGGTGTTTTGCTTTTCTGATTTCAATAATGTTCAACATTGCTTAGACTAGTAACACGCTCAGAGAAATGGTTAACAGCGGAAGAAGAAGTATATAAAGGAATGAAAAAAACATGTAATTAATTTCATTCAACACAACGTAATATCACAAATCATTTTGCTGAATATAAATTTCTGTATTTCATTGTGCACATTATATATACCTCAATATACAAATGAAAAGGGATCATATCATTCGATTGAAAAACATTGGAGCTGATAAGTTATATAACAAGCACAACAAATAGCAGGAAAAGTAAAATACAGCACAATAAGTTGTGGATGTGTTGATTAAAATAATTACGCATAAGAAGCACACGTCCTCCTTTTCTCTGTCTTACAATTGAGAATAGCGTCTATATTTTTCATTAGTAACCCAGTAATACGAATCAAAAGGCTGTTATGCCTTCTATATATTTTTGTTCAACAATTTAACAAAGTACTATTGTATATTCAAATACCAAAGATTTAAAAAAAAATAAAAAAAAGAAAGAAAACAAAAACAAAAAACAAAAAAAAACAAAAAAAACACACCAATTTGGTCATGTGTATTGATCTTGAATAATATTGAACCTGATTTATATAGTTCGCTTACAAGTGAAATAAATGTTATTGTATTCTCATTGTAGACGAAAGACACGAAACGTGTGACTCCGCAAAAAAGTCTGATCCAGTCCATATGCAAGGAATGTTTACCCAGACCAAACGTAAATACGATAAGTATGTGCAATGGTAGGATGAGTAATTAGCGTGTACCGTTACCAACATTTCTTGGTGATATATCCTGATAAAATTTGAAATTACAAATAGGAATATTTCTTTTTCTTTTTTTGATAACCAAGTTCAGATATAAGCAATGTATATGATGAAAGTTTTGCCTGTCATGGCAGAGTCATTTAAGGGGATAACATGATAACCTTACTTTTACGGAAATCTGCAAACACAAAGTGAAAAAATAACTTCGTAATATTATAACAGTCCGAAAAAGGATATCAAAACTATCATATTTCATTTCTTGACAAAGGTCCAAAGGCGTGAACGATAACACCTCAAAATAATGCTTCTAGATCACGTAATAGTGATAATATAAATATATATATATATATAATTTCTTAAGCGATATATTTATATCGTCCACTACTGATAAATATAGAAAGAATATATAGGATGCAATCACGTAGACTGGTTAGAATAAGACTCTTTCTTGAGACTATGACTAAATAATTCAATTTTCTTTACGTTACATTCTATTAAAATATATCGTAGTTGTTGCTTATGTTGCAGGTTGGTAGACCTATGAATCAATTTCTTACAGGAAATGTCCGATTGAGAAAATATTTAATTTGATTAATTAAATTGTTAATTCAAATAAAAAGCGCTACAATATTCTCTCTTTAGTACAATTTTCTTTTTTGTTTCATACAATTTCTTACAGGAAATGCCCGAAGGAGAAAGTATCTAATTAGATTGATTAAATTTTTAATTCAAATAAAAAGCGCTACAATATTTTTTCTTTAGTCCAATTTTCTTTCTTGTTTCATACAAATATAAGTATTGTAAGATTTTGTTCTTCCAATTCTATTAACAATTTCTAATAATAGAAAACGGCTTTGGAAATTGAGCCATTTATAAGACTTGATAAAGTATAACTTTATGCAGAATATGTTGATGATAAAACTATTATGATCGATATATATCATTACAAACTTCATATTGCACATGACATTAAAGCTAGAGTTGGATCATCTCCAGGAAAAGGTGGATAGATGCAAGCTGTATAATAGCATTCCGTTGTATCTAGCATTAGTAGTAGAATAAGCGATAGCATAGCTCGAATGATGAAGTCTTTTGCAAATTGTGATGTAAGCAACTACATGTAAGATCAAAGTGTTCACAAATGTTGATCAATTTTTTTTAAGATTGTATAACCTACTTTTTCAAAAGAAATGTTTTGAAGAATGCATTACAATATACTTTCACGCTTACACTGATGTAAATCAATTTAATTTAAAACATCATCTGTCATGTATCTAAGATTCCAAATAAGCAAGCTGATTGGTTTAGGACAGTAGAGACTTTTGAAGCTGATTTGCTTATGTCGTAACGTAGAAAGCGGATTGGTTGACAAAGAACACTTACGGGTGTCTCCGTGTTTCGCTATTTCCTTGACACTTTGGTTACCTAATCAAGAGGAATGTGTAGATTTGGGACAAACCCAGATACATTGATAATTATTTCTGAACTTATCTAGCTGAAAACCAAAAGTTGTTTAAGCAAAGAGCTCGAAAGTATGACCACAAATACTCCAAAATTAATATTTCATAAAGCAAGTTTGGAAATATCTAGCCGTGATTGATGGTTAATGAATGTGTCGTGTAAGGTTATGATTGATACAATGATGTTAAAGCTACATGGTATGAGGGTCTTATCAGTAGTTTTAGGCAGTTTATGTATGGACTGGATAAGACTTAAGGATGTGTATTTTAAAATATTTTGGACGGATTCAATGTTAAGAAGTCCAATATAAATTAAAATCCACAGGCTGAAAAATAATTTGTCAGATTTGCAACTTTAATAAATAGAAGATATGTTTTGATCGTTAAAAATTACAATACATAGCGCATCCTTCAAAATAAATATATGTATATATTAAAAAAGAAATTATAGTTATAAGATAAAGGTACTTCAGATATTTTAGAAATACCTTTGGAACATATCACTTACTTTTGATATCGACTCCAAGACAAATCGACCATTCCCTCCTCTCTATTCGTTTATTTTGGTCTAAATCACAATATTTTGCAAAGTTTCTTGCGCATGCGCGTGGTTTTATAACTTTTTTAACCATTCGTTTTAGGGATCGCACCTCCCGCCGTCTAAGTCTGTTGTCATTGTTTCTATCCAGTTGTGAGAATTTCCAATCTACTACCCGTTTTTCCATTGAACTTAGCAAGGGATTTCCTGATAGAGTACCTATAGGGAGCAAAATAAAAAAAAAATCCACGGAATTCTGTATAATAGGTATATAAGCATGTAGTATTTTACAGCAGCAAAGCAAAAAATAATGCACCATTTTCTTGATAGTTTTGACCAAATTAGAATTGAATTGCTATTGCTATTGAACTGTTTAACTTGTCCATTAAATTTACAAAAAAAGGTTAACTATCTTTTATCATTTCATATAATCTCGTCGAATAAATCAATCCTTTTAAAATGGATAACCAAGTTATAACTCAGTAAAAAAATGTTTTCTTAACCATGAACGACAAAATAGATAAAGACAAATCATAATTGTTATCATTTACCTGGTTGGCCTAATGTTTCAAACCGTTGATATTCCTGTGTGAAGGCTGCTACTAAGTTCTGGTTGAATTCTATTCTATCTGTGGACTTGCAGGCTGAAACACATCAGCTTGTACCATTTCAAAAACATTCATTTGAAGTAATGTGCACGTGTGTATTCTTTTGATTCTTGACATTCTTAAGACAGCTAACCATACCATGATTAAGTATATATCTGTTTTGCGATAATTTGATATGAACATTTTATTCCAATATTACAAAGTTGAACTTGACATCTGATAACATTGGAGTAAAAGTTCACTATATATTAATACATATCTCACGTAGAACTTGTAATATAGCATTTATCCTTAACAGTAGTATAATGTCTATACAAACAATATTACCTATATATTAAAAAATCACAACTACAATATATAAAGGCCAGTAATCAAGTGTGGTATAATTATTGTAATGCCTTTGATAAATGGTTATTGTATATTTATTTAATTACGTAAAGTTAATATTTTTCAGTCTCGGCTAGTTCACAAAACTGTTGTCCATGTATACAGGCATAACAGATATTTTCTGAGATTTTGTTCATTGTAGAAATGTTTGCGAAGAAGTTAATTTCGTGCTTTTTTTATTGACATGAAAATAAATCCCTGCAAACATTACCAGTTACAAGGTATTGGTAAAATATGAAAATGAAACCAACAAGGACGAGAAAAAGGTGTTTCATCCAGACTTTGTTGATTACTATCTCTCTGCCAGATAGCATTGTAAAATCAATATAGAGTGTGCCTTCCTAGAATCGGATTTAAAAAGCATCAAGTAAACCCATACTATATACTTAACAGTGATATTTGATGGTTGTCAAATTCTAATGTAGAATAGGAATTTTTAGACTAAAGGAGACATAACAAAAAAAATGGAAATATCTACGGCGCATACAAAAACCTGCTTGATACAGCAGGTGTTTGTCGGGGCATATTGAAATGACTGTAAGAGGATACACTCAAACTTATATCGTGTACCATGTATTATAACATTTCGCAAAACCTTTATCGTTGTCTCAATTGAAAGGTAAATATAGAGGTATCTCGTAGCACATCAGGGCTATCATCACTCAGCGATGAACGTAAACACTGATCATAAATCATCCTAATTGTCTGTAATTGTTGTTGTGACGTCAGTTCGAAATTGTTCTCGCACATGTTCGCAACTTTCTTATATGTGAAATGCTACGTCTAACACTGTCCGTTATAACTCGTACAGTTTGCTATTGTAACTTCCCCACGAGTCGTTTAATTTGTTGCTCATCGCTATTGAGAGTTCGCTCTTATTAGCTGTGAGCTATTTTCAGATATTGTCAGTTCGCCATATGTTTTATTAACTGCATGTTATTGGGACTTTCTCAATTCAAATATATCTTATTGACGTAAATTCAAAGTGATTCAGCATATGTTCTAATAACATAGTAGGCCCTAGTAGTAAAAACTGTGTGCTATTGTCATCTGTTTTACTGTAGGTATCTTGATCATAGTTGAGCTGTAATCAAATGACCTGATGTTGGAATTGCTTCGTTTAAAAGGGTTATTTTTAACCACCTTATTACTGAATAAAGGAAACATATCAGGGTTTGAGGCGATTTCTTCTGAAATGTGTCCTTACATTTCCTAATTTACATTCTTTGGCTGTTTTCTCTCTAACAATATTAAACATATGGAATGAGGAACTCATTAAGTATGAACAATGAATGCTAACTAATTACCTCTTTTCTTCCTCTTTGTCGATATCCGTCTTCTGTCCGTTCGACGTTTGTGTTTCTCAGGCTTCAGTGGTCGCCTTCGTCTCCCTATATGACACAAGTTTCTTTCTATTACACTTACATAAAACTCTCATTAAAGAAGCAACATTAAAAGAATCTAACGAATTTTGCAATTGCCATTGATTAGATACAAGGAATATATCAGTATTCGTTTGTCATTTATAAGTGGGGACAATGAAACATGTGATCTCTTACTTCCCTTGTACATTTCAGGAGTCTCTTGCGATTGGTCATGTTTTCCTTTTTTAATTTTAGTTTGGATTAAGATTAATTTGACATGTTGGTATTTTCTTGCCGTTATGGATTTTCTATATTTCTTCAGAAATGTCTTCTTACATTACACTGATAATCAGAAATCCTTTAACACATTTTTATCATAATATGTAATCCTGTATCAAATCAATTAAATTTACACTGTGGAACATGCTTTATCCAGCTCTACAGTGTGAAGCATTCAATAGCCTGTTAAACAATATTTTTGACAAATGCCAGAGCTGTCCTTAACCAGTTGATGTTTTTCATAGTTCGAATTGTCATGCACCGAGCTCGCTCTCGGCGTACATTCCACTAGATAAGGGGTTTCTGTGCGCTACATATCGGTAATTGATTCATTGCTAATGTTTTGCAGAATTACATTTATATTACATGAAGAGACGATTTATAATGAAATTGACATCTGGTATATCACAGTCTAGGCGTACATCAGAACATAAATACATGTCTTCATCTAAATAATTGACTAAACGCTTAGAATGAGAATAGGCGGCTATCTACATCTCAGCATATAACAGCAACATCAAAAACACATTTGTGGGTGTTTAAAACCAATATCAATCTAGATTGCCATCATGTTGCTCATCCTGTATGATAAGATAAGAGCATTACTGCCGTTTTTATGATGATACAGTAGGTAAATGGAAGATCACCTTCACAGGAGATTGAACAGGAGCATGTAAAGCTAAAAACAATATTGGGTCGAACGTACTGCTTGTATGTCACGAGGAATTTTCAGTTAATATAATAATATCATATATAGAAGTTTTTATCGTAATGTGTTCAAAGTGGTCTGAAAGTATGCTATTTACGATGAAATTATAGATTTGAATACTTGAAAGCACGTACACAGGATTTAGATTAATTATGCATTTAAAATTGATTCTTATGAACCAAGAATAAGTTCATTAAATTCCGTGTCATGGGAATTACTTTAAGCTCTTAACTCGTCGTTAGTAGAGAATTCTATCCACTGGAAAATCAAGAGAAGGAAATGAACTTTGTCGACCTTAATTGATATGAATATCATGCTGAATATCATCTTTTAATACAAATTTAGAGTCAGATACAGAAGAGGTAAACAATTAAACTGCATCATACAGCTGTTTCGTCCTTCTAGTGAGCCTACATTTTGAAGTCTAGGGGGCGACTGAAGAAAATCCTAAGTGATCGAAAGAAAAGTAAAAATATAGACCTGGAAGTGAAGATGGTTTAATATATTTTTCAATTTTCATGTACCTGATAATTTAGTATGTCAGGTACATGTGCATATTCTCCGCCGTGCTAGAATAGATATGCAATAAAAAGTAACAATACGATTTATTCATATCACCCCCATATGTTTAATTCATTTGTTTAATTTATTAGTCAGTCTGTATCTAATTCTGAATTTCTATTAAAGGAGTTATTCATTTGTCTTTTGTACAATCTTTATAGCGTCAGCATAACGAAGGAACCTGTATGTGTTGGTACGAAAATGATATTACTATATATAAATATTACTAGACGATCTGAAATAAGTATCTTTCCTATTGAACAAAAATTGGGAATTAAATGTAATTTTACACTTAGGCTATTTAAGTGCATAGAAAGTACGATTCTAATGTTTTGCCGGGCCTATTATAAATGTTGGCTAACGTTTACCAAATACAAACCTACGACTTGATATTGTTTTAACTAATTAAATAATATTAAACAATTACTGATTGCACATAATGTAAGATTTTACCAAGAATAGAAATCAGGGATATATTACCATTGCAACTAGTTGACTTACGTTTACATGGTGCACGTTTTCCACTGATTGATGTACCCGCGATAGGTTTCCCGTCATTGGTGACACACCAACAGTACCCTGTAGCTGCATGACATTGGATCTCTGCATAGGATCCATCCTGTTCGCATTCGGGTATAAAGATCCCAAGTGTTGGCTTTCTGGCTATGGCTTGAGCCTCTTCTCTTTCCTGCATACATTTTGTTTTCGGTGCGGCTGCCAATGCTGAAAGGGTAAGGATATACTCATTACAGTATTCCATTTACATTAATTCTGTTTGCGACTATGCTCATTATATCAAATGCTATAATATAAAATAGATATAATGACAACCAGAGGTAACCTTATGATGATAATACAAAGAACATAAAGATGTTGCCAATGAACACCAACAGGTTCTCTACTGCATCATATACACACTCGCTTTCAGAGTGGGTAGATGGTGTCGGGACCAATAAATATATAATAACAAATTTCAGATTAACTAACCTTTGTAACTAAACATCGTATAAGTATTACTAACAGTAGCTAATTTTAGTATCAATATTACTTAGAGAAGTTTAATGTAGATTCAGGGTCTCTCATTATAAATTCAGATATTAGTGTTACTTATAACAACAGAGAGCTCAGTCGGTTAGAGCCTACGTAACTACAGATGAAGATCCGGGGTGCTTGGTTCGACACCCCCTACCCATGGCGGTTTTAGATTCTTAGGAAATCTGTGCGGAAGTGGCTGTTTTGTTTAGTGAGGTAGCCACTAGCTACAAGAAGGAGACCGTGCCGCAATATGATCCTCACTGTTTACGAAGCGATAGACAGAATAACATGTATCATCACTATTTCAAAGTAATTCATTTGAGCATTAATGTTACTTGTGGTGTGAACTTGTAGCGTCAACGTTACTTACATTGCTAAAATAACACTGACCTTTACCTGTAGGAAGTGCGGATAATCCATGAAATGTCAAGATAGTAAGTAAAACCGATCCGCTGTACGCCATCGAATAATAAATAAAGATACACGTGTAATGAGGGATAGATGTATTACAATCACGATGTCCTTCCTCACTCATACCATAAAGGTATAACACATAATCACGGCGGTGAAATATGATAGAAGTTACTCCTGATATCCAAAATCATTCACTGTTTTGATGAATCACATGGCAAAGAACCAATTAGTTGGTTTGAACGTGCGATGAGTTCAGTTGGAGAAATCCTCAAAAGACATCAAGGCAATAGATTTGCTTTGCTGGCAAAAGGTACCACTTTTGATATGAAGATATATAAGAATACAGGATCAGTATTCTCATTATCTATCTGATAAAGATAATCTTTCAAGGAAAAAAACCCCACCGAATCTGTTGAAAACATCCACACGTTTCATAAGCTGCAGATGGTTGTGGTTGTATTTACTCTGCATGAATTGTACATTGTTTAGTACAATCGTTAGAAAGTAATACAAAATGCTACGTTATAACCAATCTTTTGATTTAAAAATATTTCTTGAATCATCTCACGACTTCCCGTAAGGAAATATCCATCCAGTATTCAGAATTATGTCTAAATTCCAAAGTACATGTTCGAATCTAAAATCATTGTGCAACAAACTAAAGACTTGTCATCATTGGTGATCATGCCAGTGTATGAACTCCGAGAACTGATCCCCTACTGTGCTACATGGTTGTAACTAGGTCTCGGTAGTACCAGGTAATGTGACACAGCCGATGTTCGACCAACAGAGTGCACGTGTAGCACATTAATATGCGCAGCCACATAATGAAAGGTAGGCTAAGTTTTCCGGTGTCGAGGTGATCTCCTGCACCGTCTACTCAACACGTCATTACCGAGCTAGAGAAATACTGTGGACAAACACTCAGAAGAGAATAGAAGGCTGTTCATTTCCAAATGGAGACTTTCATTTGAAAACGAAAGATAGTCTAAAGAAAGTTTACGATCAGCTAAGAAAATCACTGCCAATCAATATAGCTATCTAAGCCTGACATTTACCGAGCACATGCTTCAGGATAAATCAACACAAATCCTCTACGACCATTTTAATCGAGATGAGAGTTTGAATAAGGGCGGCTAAATTGAAGTGGTGATATAAATTTGATGTTAAAATCTCATGACATATATGTGTGGACTCTTAAGTAGTGGGATAGGTGTGTTTGATACACAGTGTGCGCCCAGGTGTTCCGACTAACTTTCCTCTGACATCTTGACGTTTGATTGCAAACATCAGTGCGTACGGCCTAGTTTGGTAACGTATTCTACAGGTAACATTTTGAGGAATGCACAAATTGATCATTGGGAATCAATGTTAGCTTCATTAATGGTAATTGATACTAATTTAAGTCAATAAATATCGGCTAAACACATGTAAACTATCAAGTTAAATATTCCTTAATCTATTAAAGGATATAGAATGAGCTTCCAGTTCATCGTAAAAGCAAAAAATTTGCATTTGATTTTCTACGAAATAATTTTTTTTTAATAATAGCAATATGTCATAATTGACATAGAATGCTTAACATCAATTAATTTGCTTGCAATGAGCAAATCCAAAATGAGTTATGCTTTATCAACAATGCTTTTATGGAATTTAACTCACTGAAAAGTATACAAGATCGCCAAAGTGTGACTTCCAGATTTCTCGATGCTACATTGATCTGTTGCTGACAAAAATAATAAAAACGTTTTTCGAGTGTACTTTTAATACGAGCAAGGCAATACCAGTCCTCCGAGACTCCAGGCCGAGGTTGTGGTTACTTGACAGGGAGTGTTAAGTGTTACATGTACACACATCTACATGTTGTTTATACAGGTAACGATGGAATTTTCCAATATCTATACAGAACGTCAAAACCTGACGGTGATATGTTCAGAAATATTTCAGATATTATTTAATATATCATAATTGTCATTTCATTTCTACATCATTGAAACATTTTAATAACATTCAAGAAGAGTTCGTGAGAAACATGATTTACTTCCCAATGGACTATGTAAAATTGTGAATTTCTGGGCACAAAAATCCTTTGATTCAACTTTGCAATCAATGCCTCTTTCATTATGGATGATTCCCTGTTACTCTCTTGACAATATTTCTTTCATTACAATGGCAGGTTGACCGTTCCAAATTTGAAAAGTACATTGATAAACTTGAATTTTAAGCCTTATCTCTCATGGATTCCCATACTGAGATTTCTTCCACGAAATAAAGTCCATAAAAATGTAGGAATATAACGTCTTATAAAATTAATAGATTGTAAAAAAACCCTATAACGTAAAAAACAAATGACCACATATCAGGGGAGTTTTCGAATTTAGAAAAACTATGCTTGCACAATTGGCAAGGTTCACCCAAAAAGTTCCGAATCATACAACTTCCTTCTAAACGATTTGGTTCAGATGGAAAAAATATGAATGAATACCACCATGATGAAATGTATTTGAAACGTTTTTCCAGTAAATGGTAATTTCAAAGTTTGATTTTATTTTTTGTTTTTCTATTTCATCATTTTGTGTCATATAGGTTTAAGTATATTAAATCTATAAATAGCTTGTTGGAATATGAACGTTAACTTCATGCTCTCACCATACGATACATCTTATATTGTCACTTGACTATACTTTGTAATACAATTTAATATTACACATATAGTTGTTAAAAATACTTTTAAACGCTCTTGAAAAACAGATCTCCAAGGACAACTTTCCTTTAACCTGAAGAATTGTGGTATTTCAAAAATTATACTCAGTTTTATTTCTTATTTGATTATCATGACTAGCAAGACATATAATATTAGAAAAGAGTATACTATTTGTACACTATGATTTCCAACATTTGAATTAAATTATTTCAATATACAAAAATCTGACAATGTACGTCATGCTTATTAAAGAAGATGAACAAAGTATTATATTGCAGTATTCGGTCATATCTCGTTATAATTTCGGTCTACATTGAATATGTAAGATGCGTGCAGATTAATATTCAAAAACATTTTAATTCAAAGAATATAAATGAAATGTAAAATGTGATATTATCAAAAACATATTGCTTACCAGTGGTCGTCTGGCCTTTTAAACCTTCCACATCAGATATGTGTATGATAATAGGGAAGAACCAGGCTGTTAATTGATATAGTTTTCTCTATCTATGAGTATAGAGGTCGTAAAACGATAATTAAATGGATAACTAACGTCTCACACACATATCGACCACTTTGGTATCGTCAATGTTAGTTTTGTAAATGATCCATGGTAGATTGGTAGCGTCATTCAGTTAATCTTCGTGAAAATTAATAGTGTATGAAGTACTTTAAAACCAAAACATGTATTGGCATTTTCACATCACAACAGTTATGATGAATTTAATACGATGTAACTGCATATTATTACAATGCAGGTGTTCAAATCAATGTTTTACATCTTATTCGTCTAAACATTTCATTTCCCTGAAGAATCACATCTGAAGAATCACCAAAAGGTGTTGAGTGTTTATGTAAACATTTCATGAAGACATATTTTGCAAATAGTCAGATGATACATATCTTATATGACATAGTGAAAATAACCGCTGCATACTGCTGAACATAACACAACACACAATATATGAATATCAGGCGTATATTCAGCGAGACTGTTTTATGGTGATATCGTTTTGATTTTAAAGCTTTTAAACATAATTACAGTCCAAGCATATACTTCTCCGATAACACAATATCAGAACTTTTAATGAGGACATGAATGATAAATTCCAATATCCATGTAGTAGTTTGTAACTATTGAAATTCTGAAATATATAATTTAGATTAAAATAATATAAAAATACTATAAAGATATACGTTGCATTTCGTCAATATTATTCTTAAGTCGAGTTCTAGTGCTATAGGCCTCAAATTAAAGCTATAAAGTATTGCAATTATTTTATCAGTAAATCAGTGCATTTGGACAATCGATGTTTATTAACAAATGTAATGTAAACCAAGTCAAGCTAAATATTATGTCATATATAGGAAAATATGTCAAATCCATAAATGAAATAGTATCGGGAAATCGTATTTTCAGTACAAATTATATGTCGTGATGTTGAGTGATGGTTTGGACAGGTCAAAGTAGTTATGATGTACATATGAAAATGAATTGTAACCTATTTTTTTATATTTAAGGTTTTCTTTCCATGGATATTCAAAGAAACTCCTGTAAAATTTCACGTAAATGCAAATTGCAGTAGTGATTTCCTTGACAAATTAATGACAGCTATAATTTCTTCAATGTTGAACACGGGGATGAATTAATCAACAAAAAAATTTCAGAAAAAGATACAATCGAGATTAAAAATAAGTTAACTTACAACATACACCTTTTTCTTGATTTTCCCATTTTTAATTGTTAAGTGATTCGACAAATCTAAAATTTAGTTCCTGGTCTTTCTTTGCACAGGAATAAAGTACTGTTTCATAAGACAAATTTGCAATGCTTTTCATTGACATCAAAATAAATCATACATTTTGTTGAAACAGTTATTGGTTATCAAAAACATATAGTCAGTCTTTAATTGACAACCGAACATGAAAAACAAATTACTTTGTCAACCTACTGTCAAAATCAGAACTAAAATATGACATGCTATAAAACCACACGAAGACAGGGGAGATAATACTATAACTGATATGAAATTATTTTAAATAAATTAAATTCAGCGTAATGATGCAGTTTACTTCATTATTAGCTCTGCTATATCTAATTCTAATTTGTATTGAAGGTGATATTCAATTGTGTGGTTTTTTATACAGTCGTCGGGGTTGCAGGTGGTAGACACTGCTGGTGGACGTTTAGCCTCCAAGGTTTTCTGTAGCCTGCATGCCATGTTTTAATTCATTTGAATGGTGGTACGGTCAGAATATCATGCACTTAACGTTAACTACCACATTTATTGAAATATGGGGCTAGTGCACCTCCCCATGTAGATTGCGACATTTCTTTCGATCAAAATTGATTCCCCCAGTCACAGAAGACGAATCCTAAAAGGACAAAACAGATGTACGATGACGTTTAAGTCATAAAATGGTTCTTCTCTATCTGATGCTCAATTTGAATTTAATGATTATATTCATTAGTGAGCCTTTGTAAAATATTCAGGTGTATTTTGAAGTAAAGGCGGAAAAACTTAAAATATTATAATATATACTATTAAGGATACGTAAATGCTTATATACGACTTATAAGAACAAAGATACATATATATATATTTATCTTTAAACCTTCGTTTCTATTCGAATTGATAAAAACAGTTTTAAAGGTCTCCAAACTTGATTTTATTAAAACAAAGTGCAAGCTTTGATGTGACAAGCACATTTGTATTTGTTGACATATGTTTTGGCGTGTCTTGCAGTTAATGTGCATGTTTTAATGTCATAGTTATCTTCGGCTTGGAATAAATAAATAAAAGTCATTATCTTCTCCATGCTATGATAGAATAAACTCTAAAATACAGTGTTATTACCTCGTTCTTAAAAAGATTTCCAAGGTACCATAATTGAAACAATCTTTCTTCATTTAAGATAAACAGAAAGACAGTTATAGGAAAGCTGCGTTTTTCCTAAGTTGAAATGTTTCTTTACTCTGTACTCCTTGGTATACAGTGTGTCATATCATAATCAGTTATATGTAATGTGATTCCAATTAGGCCGGACAGACTATATGCAGTATCTAAAATTAAACATGGTAGGTTACACCTCGATCTAGTTTAAATGTTATGTAGCTGATAAATCAATTGTAAGTTTGAAAGCTTTACGACGGGGACATGATCATTTTACATATCTTAAAAATGCTGTCCATTCAAACTCAAACATACCTACGTGGAGCTTTCACATCTGGCTATTACAGAAAGACAACGACATTTGTATATACACACCTCAGATAGTATGAGAAATGTCTATTTTAATTAATGTAAGGCCTCCTTTTGCGATTGAGGATTTTATAATAGGCGTATGATAGTTATGTAAGTAATGAGGAATAAGGGAGATTTAAGTGGCACCCTATGAGGTCGTATCACCGATATTAACATTTTTTACCTTACGCTTTGCTTTAGATCCCTTGATAAACATCTAATAAGGCTTTAACAAATAGAGGAAACGTGGGGGATCATTTGAGCTAAATGAGAATCACTTTGATGTCATATAATTAATTTATCAACACCCACGCCGATCAATATGTTATCTGGTCCGGACAGGTATGGCGTCACTTACTGGCTGATGTGGGAGCGAACAGACATGCGCATTATTCGGAGTGGTAGGTTTATCTTGTTAGTGGAGGTATAGAGGATTATGTGTTGCTAATAAGACTTTATAGTATCAAAGTCTGAGCTTTGTTGACAGAGGTAACGAGGAGTCAGGTGAAATGTTTCCGTTATAATGTCAAGGGTTAAAACTTTGTATTGACAATAAGGTTTACTCAACAACGTTTCCCGACTCGAAACAGACGCAAATAACAGCGAAATACTTCCTCTGTTAAAGACGCAGGTACTAAGTTAATATGGACTATTCATTTATTCTATTTTCTTATTTCACAAAGTAACCTTGCTGCAAAGAAATGTCCATAGCTTCATTTCCTATACCATTATCTGGAATTGTAACAATTGATTTGTGGTCCCTTTGCAAGTCAGTGATGTTCATCTTGTTTAAACATTTTTTTATCCCATATACGGAAAGGCTAAATTATTAAAAGATAATATTCACTTGTCTTTTGTGCATTTATTAAAATAGCAGGTGATAGGCACGGTTTGCCGTAGTCTGCATGCCACGTTTTATTTTATTTATCAGTTGCACGGTTCAGAATATACACATGTACTTGACGTTTTTTTTTTTTAAAAATGTCTGATATAATTAAAATTGCGAAATTTATTCAATTATGGTGCTGCTGCACCTCCCCGTCTAGATTTTGACTTTTCTCCTCATCACTTTAGATTTTCCTTAGTCACCACATTGGCTTCAAATCTAGCCGCTGACGAGTCTTAGAAAGACGAAACAGCTGCATGATGCAGTTTCAAGCTCTAAATTATTAAAAGGTGCTATTCACTTGCGTGTCTTTTGTAGAATCTTTAAAATAATTTTAAGTACTAATGACATACCTGAACATACCCCTTTACTTTTGACCTTGACACGTCTATTTTCACAACGTTTGGCGCGCTTGATGGCACAACGTGAGGAATATGTTAGTCCATCGGATCCACACACCGGCCTCTGTCCTTTCCCCGTACAGTCAATGCTACATTCCGTATTCCGTAACGACCGAAATAATACCTGGAACAGAGATGTGGAAGCTTATTGTTACTCGCTTTGATATCATATTTACTAAGAAGAGGAAATCGTAATCTTTACTTTGTGAATATCCTTATTACAGAAAGACAATTATAGGGTCAGAAAAAATAAATTAACATATCATAACAAAATTGGAAATTTTAACAGTTTGCGAAACATTGAATAGTTCATATCATGAAAACGAGGCGATATAGAGTATGATAAAATATACAAATGAAACTGGAGCACGATAGAAAAAATAATAAAGCGTTTGAACCCTATACGACCTTATGTTGTTGGAAATTCCACCCATGTAAGAAGGTTTGGTCTCTTAGATCCGGGATCTAACTTAAAACAGACGTATTAATATATTTTAAAATATGTCAGGTATTTAGCATATTTATACTTATGTACTTGGTTTACTGATTGAGTCAATTTGATATCTACATAGATCTGAGATATATATAGAAAATTAAAAGAATGTAAACGTGCACTGATATGAAACATCAAACCAGTATTAAACTATGCCCAATTTAAATATCAGTTGGACTGATCAAGAAAAATCATGAATTGAAGACTATATTTCTTCTAAATAATGTTTCTAAATATGATATCATAGATGTTTCATTTCACTAGCATTAGTCAGATGGCATCGTAAATGGGTTTAACAGGTGGAAATCAAGCCTAAAGAATGTACACACGTTCAAATGTAAGGTTATACCATAAAGTCACAGACATCGTACTGTAAACTAGGAACATTCTCATTATTACTCATAGGGTATACTACACGCATCAAATATAGGACCACAGTAATTGGTGTTAGTAAAAATTTTATTAAAGTACATAATTATACATTGAACACAAACATACCTACTGATATGGTGTAATGTTACATTACAATTCTTATACAAAAACTAATGTTTTTTTATTAAAGTAATGAAAAATTAACTGAAATCGTTAGCCTCTAGGATTACAATATACTACAGAAATTAATAAGAATTATAAGGTGATGAAACGGTTTTCAGACCTAAAGGTTTGTCATATAGTAGACCGTGATTTATTCTCTACGTATGCTGTTACAGCATAGGTCTTGAACCCTTGATTTTAACCAGAAGATAAAATACTTTTGTATGTTTTTCTTACTGTCAGTACAATCTGGGTCTGTACGTTGAGTTACCTCAGGTGAGAATTACTAACATGGGGAACAAAGATTTGTTTTGTATTACGTGACAAAATACCTCCAACATTACAACAGTATACCGTATTTATGGTTTTTTTATAATCCGTTTACATCTAATTCTAGTTTATCTACAGTACATGCTTATAACATGGTAGAAAAATTTAATGTATTTGAAACGGCAAACAAAATTACTAAAGAAAAAGAAATTTGATAAGGGGTGTTTATGTCGTAAAATCACAGAGTTAATTAGCTCCCTCATTATTATATTACAAAGTTAACAATAATCTTTGAATTATGCAAGACACTTCATATCCATAAATGAGAGTTTGTGATTTTATTGCACAATGTTACGAAAATTTTCCGTATCATTGACGCCGACCTCAAAGTTTAAAGAAGGAAAACAGCTAACACGATTTGATATCTTATTGTTTTTCCCCTTTTCGTGCAACGGCGAAAAAGAAAATGGAAATTTAATTAGTATTCGTTGGAATGTCTGATATTTATAAAATTAATATCCGGCTAATTAACTCATTATAGGGAAAACATCAATATTCTTAATTAATAGGTTATTTACAAATACACTTCAGTTACACATGCGGATTGATATTACATCATTAACATCTGCGAAGTTGATAAATGAGTTTTGAATCGGAATCATTCTATTTCTTAATACATCATTTATGAATCAATCATGAGACGAATTTATTTCAGGATAGCATTTATGTAAAATTACGAAATGCAAAGGGGAAATATTTAGAAATTATTTTAGATAACAGGTGTATCACCTTAAATTATAAAACGGTAGCTATTAACAGTTTCAATTAAAGCTAAATCGACGACGGATATAAAATTGTGAATATGTTTAATAATAGTATTTGTAATGAAACCCCAATTACCTAACTAGCCGACATTAAATAATGCAACGTATCTACTGTATGTTTGTTTATCACATCTTACAGGTATCACCTTTCCATACCTCGCCAGCTTCGTTGCAGACCTGATCAATGAGATAGGGCTCTTACACTACTGCTGTTTATTTATGAACGATTGCCATTCACAATGACTAAATAGGCCTGATCTAAACCCATTCACACGCATCTCAGTCATTACCCAATATCAATAATAGCGCTAATATAGTTATGCTTCAATGCCTTGTCCATGTAATCGTCAATATTTGTCAATGAATACAAATCTGCCTTTTATTCCAGATCATTAAAGATTAAGACTGATATCAGTATCGGACATTTGAACTGTAATTTAAAAGCCAGTCCCAGTTAGTTTGCATCAGAACAGTGTTTTCTAAATGTTCTTTTATTCCCTTGCTCAGAAAAGGTACATTCTATTTCTGGAGAATAGTGTCAATGAAATGCAGGTGCGTACTTTAATATAAGATAAGAAAAAATCCACTACGGTTTTGTAGAAATTATTAGGATTCATATGAAAAAAAATAATACACCACGAAAGTACTATTCATATGATTCCTTATCGTACTCGATAATTAGTATCAAAGTGTTGAGTAGGATACAATTCTGAGCCAAGGATTCGATGTGAATCCCTTGATGGACCTTATCTCTAATTGGCGACACCTGCACGTGGAGGCAACAACTTTGCTTTGTTGCTTTCTCACGTTATACAAATTCGCACCTGTGTGTTGAAGATGGTTTGACGAGCGATCATAAACCTCTTAATTACAACAGGAGGACAATCAGCCAACATCCGTCATAATATGCAGCCCTTTTCAAGTATCTATATCCGATAAATTGTAACCGTATCAATTTTGAACTTTCTTATGTTTTTTTGCGGATGCGTTAGATTTACATCTTTCGAGTAGAATAGGGTTGAACATCTGTGTGCAATAGCGAAAGGTAAGATTAAAATCTCATCTTATCTCATGAGATTTTAAAATTCCTGTTTTAGGTAAGACTTTCAAATGATTTCATCTTTTTAATAAAGAGCGTGTTTGAAGTGTACAAAGTTAAACTGTATGAGATGCCTGTGTGTAAATCATCTTATAAACTAATCCTTGGAAGTCATCAAAGAAGCCTTCATCTGCAATGGAGCTATCAAGCGTCTCATAAACGTGTAAATAATGTTTATCAAATAATGTGATCTGTAATGTGATACCCATACAGCATGGTCTAATACGAATGTCCAATATTCTTTAAAACGTAATCCTGTGCTAATTATTAACAACGTTAAAACATCATTTTTTTTAATTAATTATTTAAACACTGGCTGACCACAAACATTTAAGACATTGCGATCTACACCGGCGTCAATAAAACGTAACGTTTCCAATTATCTGAATTTCAGTTTTACATGTTCCATTACCACGATGATGGACTCCCCATTGCGCGTACAGTATGCACCGACCGACTCTAAAATCTTAAAGAGACATACTATTATAGACGTTTTCAACGTGTTGGTATAAATATTGCGTAGATGTTACAATCTGTAACAAGTATAGATGTTATATATATAGAAGTAATAAAAACGAGATTACAAAGGGTTACAGAAACTAGGTCTTTGACATTTAAACATAGTCGTCGAGAACGAACCATACATCTACAAATAAGTTGATGATAATTCTCATCGTTTGAGGATGTGTTTCTTTAAACCTCCTCACTCTACACCGGGTTTTCCAAGTTCCGATCGAATCTTTAACATAAAATGAGTTGGCCAGTCGATGAAAGAGACTTACAACGCAAGTAAATTTCTGATTTACACAGAAAAAAACATTAACGATTGATTTGGAAAAGGTACCGGCCAAATATGACGCAGTGCAGTAATAGATCCCTCTTGAAGTGGTGTACTAACTTACCACAGGCAAGGCATATTTCACAACGTTGAGTATATAGTGTCACCTGATAATGATGTAGAATTGATGTAGAAGACAAATCCCGCTTCATTCTAACAAGCCCCTCTTTCAGTGAAATAAGAAGTAAATATGTCAAACCACATTATCTTGTTAAGCCATCTGTCTACAAATTGATAAAATTGTTATCAACCGGTTATATCAAACGATTAATTAACCCGAATAAATTCATATGCTATGCTTGTTCACTACGACAGAACCTGTTGGCTTCTATCTACAATGAAGTATGGTTTGCAAACAAAAAGAAACACATGTATTTGAATTGTAAATTTCAGACTGTGTTGTTTGGAATGAACATTACTATGAACTTTTCATATGTGTTGATATCAATATGACATTGTCCTTTGTACCGATGAAATGTATAGGCTCAAGATGAAATAAAGAATATGAATGATAGAAAGTGTCAAGTCTCGCAATTAAATCATTAGCGATACACTAGTCATTTCTGGATTTCAAAAGGTTTGGCCTGCTGTTTTTGAGCTTGTGTAATAGTGAAGAACATCGGAGTATTTTTTTGGCTATTCGAGTATACATGTAAGGACGTCATTCGAGGAAATGGGGGAAAATTCATGGCCAATGAAAAGAGAGAAATTGCAGTTTATCAGCCTGAATCACCCATAACTGAATTAGAAAGGTAAAATCTCAACCATCAGAATACCTTCTCTTGTTGATTCTTATAAATCTTACCCTCTTATTTTTCCAGAGAGAAACATAGAAAAACTAACAATTTATTGGCAACACTTTTCTGCAGTTGAAATAACGTCATTTAGGATGTTTACCCTATGCATCGATTTAACAGAAAATATCCTGCTCAGATAGGATTACTCTAAGTGACTTAATGTCATTTTAAAACTGAACGTACGGCTGTGATACTCTCTTCGTGTAAGCAAAGACATATTCATCATTATCTATCAAAATCGGGAATGTAGCTGTAGCAATACGTGTTCT